CGTCGTCGTCGTCGTCGTCGTAGTAGTAGTAGTAGTGGTAGTAGTAGTAGTAGTAGTAGTAGTAGTAGAAGTAGTAGTGGTAGTAGTAGTAGTAGTAGTAGTAGTAGTAGTAGTAGTAGTGGTAGTAGTCGTCGTCGTATTCGTATTCGTACTCGTAGTCGTAGTCGTAGTAGTAGTAGTAGTAGTAGTAGTCGTAGTAGTAGTCGTAGTAGTAATAGTAGTAGTAGTAGTAGTAGTAGTAGTAGTAGTCGTAGTCGTAGTCGTAGTAGTAGTAGTAGTAGTAGTAGTAGTAGTAGTAGTAAAAGTAGTAGGAGTAGGGGTAGTAGGATTGGTAATACAAATAGTGGTAGAAGTAGTAGTGGTGGTAGTAGTAGTTGTAGTCGTAGTGGTAGCAGTTGTACTAGTCGCAGTAACCGTAGTAGTAGCCGTAGTAGTAGTGGTATTCGTAGTAGGAGTAGTAGTAGTAGTAGTAGTAATAGTAGTAGTAGTAGTAGTAGTAGTAGTAGTAGTAGTAGTAGTAGTAGTCGTAGTAGTAGTAGTAGTAGTAGTAGTAGTAGAAGTAGCAGTAGTAGTAGTAGTAGTAGTAGTAGTAGTAGTAATACTCGTAGTCGTAGTAGTCGTGGTACGCGTAATCGTACCAGTAATCGTAGTACGAGAAGTAGTAACGTTATTAGTATTATTAGTATTAATAGTGGTAGTAGTAGTAGTAGTAGTACTAGTAGTAGTAGTAGTAGCAGTAGTAGTAGTAGTAGTTGTAGTAGTAGTAGTAGTAGTAGTAGTAGTAGTAGTAGTAGTAGTAGTAGTAGTAGTAGTAGTAGTCGTACACGTGGTTGTAATAGTAGTCGTAGTAATAATAGTACTAGACTTAGTAGTAGCACTAGTAAAGTAGTAGTAGTAATAGTAGTAATTGTGGTAATGCCACTCGTAGTCGCAACGGTAGTCCTAGTATTACGAATAGTAGTAATTGTAATAGTAGTTGGTAGTAGTAGTAGTAGTAGTAGTAGTAGTAGTAGTAGTAGTAGTAGTAGTAGTAGTAGTAGTAGTAGTAGTAGTAGTAGTAGTAGTAGTAGTAGTAGTAGTAGTAGTAGTAGTAGTAGTAATAGTAGTAGTAGTAGTAGTAGTAGTAGTAGTAGTCGTAGTAGTGGTAGGAGTAGTAGTAGTCACAAAGCTAGATGTAATGATAGTAGTACTAGAAATAGGCATTGTAGTAATAGTCGTAGTAGTAGTAGTAGTAGTAGTAGTAGTAGTAGTAGTAGTAGTAAGAAACAGAAATAGTACTAGTAGTAGTAGTAGTAGTAGTAGTAGTCGTAGGAGTAGTAATTGTAGTCGTAGTCGTAGTAGTAGTAGTAGTAGTCGTAGTAGTAGTAGTAGTAGTAGTAGTAGTAGTAGTAGTAGTAGTAGTAGTAGTCGTAGTAGTAGTAGTAGTAGTAGTAGTAGTAGTAGTAGTAGTAGTAGTAGTAGTAATAACACTAGTACTTGTAGTAGTAGTAGTCGTAGTAGTAGTAGTAGTAGTAGTAGTAGTAGTAGTAGTAGTCGTAGTAGTCGTAGTCGTAGTCGTAGTCGTAGTCGCAGTAGTCGTCTTAGACAAGGAATGGCAGCACCAGGCGTCGTCGCAGTGGTGGTGACGGTAGTACCCATAGAAGTATGTACAACAAGATTCTTATCAGCTGCATCAGTATATCCACTAGTTTTTGTAGTGGTAGTGGCAGTAGTTGTGGCAGCAGTATTGGTGGTGGTGGCTACTTTCGTGATTCATCGTTTCGTTTCGTTGGACCCGACAGGCCTTGTCGCACATGGTGCACCACAGGCCGTCGTGCTTTCTCGCGATGCCTCAGGGAAGCAAGCAGCAGCGTAAACATACACTTTCAGACATCCGCGGTCGGTTTTTCCACCGGCGCCGGGCCTCCCAGTACCCGTCGCGCGGAGCGCGCGCCGGGTGCCGGCGCCGAATGCGCAGCCCTGGGACGCAGGCGGGGGGGAGGGGCGGCGCAGGCGGAGAAACCGTCAGTGGACATCAGAAACAAGTGTCAGAGAGAGGAGGGCCCTGAATCGGCTTACTTCGTTCTTGGGTGCGCGTCCTCTCTGGGATCGCCGCAGTCGTTAGCATGGGAAGTTCGTGGGGGAGTTAGTGGAGGGGATTCGCAAGGGCCGCAAGGGGAGATGCTGTAGAGACACGCTAAAACATCTTGCTATCAGAATTCTGCCACCGTGCCCCCTGGCACGTTGAGGTGTGGAAGAATGCCACGGTTTGTCTGGTAGGGTTTTCTGAATTCTAATAAGGGGTCCTCCCACTCCCTACCCGCAGACTCCTGCGTGCATCGTTCCTCCTTTCCGAGGCCACTACCCTCGTGCCCACTCGCTCGAGGATGGTGCACTCCCAGCATGGCAGCTAATGCCTAAACCTACATTCCACGCGTGCCCGCTCGAGGATGGTGCACTTCCCGCGTTGCAGCTAATGCCTGCTTCCACGCGTGCCCACTCGAGAATTGTGCACTGCCGGCATGGCTGCTAACTCCTAGACCACTCATCCCACGCGCACCCGCTCGAGGATCGCGCACTTCCCGCATTCCCAGGCGCTGCCCAAGCACCCCATGGCCTCCCCAGACACGATCCCTCGTCTAAAACGATGGATATGCGTCCCGAGCTTACAAGACGGCCCGCGCAGGCAACCAAGGACACCAAGAATGCCCAAGATGCCTCGAAGACGGCCCAAGATGGCCCCAAGGTGGTCCAACATCGATTCAAGACAGCCCAAGATGTCTGCAAGAGGGCCCAAAATGGCAACATGAGGATCTCCAACAGGGTCTGAAGAAGCCAGAATCATCGATTTCCCTTACTTTCTTGCCTTTTCGGGCTGCCGTCAGCTCAAGAAGGCCCAAGAGGACTCCACGATGGCTCAGGAGGCATCAAATATGGCCCCAAGACGGCCCCACGACACCCACCATACGGCCAAGATGGCCTCAAGACGGCCCGAGAGAGTCCCAAGTCGGCGTAAGAGGGACCCAAGACGGCTCGAGGTGGCCCCGAAGGACCCTCAAGACTGCCTCACAGGAGTCCAAGGCAGCTCCAAGAGGGCCCAAACGAGTAGTGTCATCATCATCATCATCATCATCATCATCATCATCATCGTCGTCGTTGTCGTCGTCGTTGTCGTCGTCATCGTCATCGTAATCATCATCCGCATCAGCATCAACATCCTCATCCTCATCATCATCATGATCATCACCACCATTCTCATCATCCTCATCACCACCATGCTCATCATCTTCATGATCCTCCTCTTCCTCCTCCTCCTCCTCATCATCGTCACCATCATCATGGCCATCTTCACTAAATGCGTCATCGTCATCATCGTCATCGTCGTTAGCATCACCATCGCTGCAACCGTCAGCTTCAGCATCATCAAAAATATCAGCATCCTCATCATGCTTATGATCATGATCAGCATCACCATCATAGTCATCATCATCTCCATCACCATCACTATCACTATCATCATCATGCTGTACGCCATCGTTATCGTCATTGTCGTCGCCGTCGTCCAACAACATCGCCATCATCAGCATCATTATCAGCAGCAGCAGCAGCATCGTCGTCGCGATCACCATCATCCTCAACAGCATCACCACCATGATCATCATCATCGTCGTCAGAATCCGCATCAACATCACCATCATTATCACCATCGTCACAACCACCACCATCATCACCATGACCGCCATCATCATCCTCCTCCTCATCATCATCATCATCACCATCACCATCATCGTCATCACCACCAACATCAGGATCAACATGAGCATCCGCATATCAGCATAAGCATCCGCATATCGGCATCACATTAACAATACTCAGCATCACCATCATCACCACCATCACCATCATCATCATAATCATTTTCACCAGTGTCACTGTCACCAGCATCAGCATCAGCATCAGCATCAGCATCACCATCACCATCACCATCACCATCACCATCACCATCATAATCATCATCATCATCATCATCATCATCATCATCATCATCATCATCATCATCATCATCATCGCCCCCATCATCCTCATTATCCTCATCGTGCCCATCACGGCTTTCCCAAGCCTGGAGACACGGTGTGTCACACGTGACGGCCTCCCGTGCCCCCTCGAACAATCGCCACCCAGCTTGCTGGGCTAGCACGGCGGCGGGACTTGCCGCAGGCAGCTGGATATTGGGGCAGGTTCTTCGCCAGTCTTTTTCTGCCCTCGAGTGCCCCAGAGCTTCTGTGGCTTCCTGGGGCCATCGGGGGATCAGAAATTTCCGAAGGGCACCCGCTGGTTGGCCGATTTCTTGATTGATGTGCCCGCTGGAGTAAGGGCCCGTCCCACCGCGCACGCGCGGGCACTCTCGCGGGCCCACACCCTCTCTCTTGCCCGCTGCTGCGTGGCTCTACGTCCACGTTCGACTGCACGCAGGAGCTGCCCGGGGCAAGCGTGACCTTTGCTGCGCGGCTTGCCGATCGCTACGTGCGGTGAGACAGCACCGGCCTGCGTGCTTGGGTTTAGCCCCCCCCCGCGCACACCCCGAAATCCGAGCGCCCCCGGCCACTCTGGAAGGGCCACTCTTACGTGTAGCCCACTCCCCCCCCTCCTCTGGCTCTCGGGTCAGAACTCGGGCCTCTGGCGACAATCAGGCACGATTCGGGCACCCCTGGAACGCCCGCGCCGAGGCGCAGCTGCTGGAACGCACCCTGGGGCAAGAAAAAAGCTCCAGGAGCAGGCGGAATGGTACCCAGAGACGCCGAAGGGATCTCGGCCAGAGACCGCGCACCTCGCCCGAAGACCTGGAACTCTGCGCCGCTCCAGCCCTGAGATCCGGGGCCTCCCCAAAAATGAGACGCCGTGAAAAATCTAGCCTACCCTGTATTTCTGCGCCAGTTTTCAAGCCGGATCCGTGCGCGAGGGCCCCGGGGCCCGGAGTTATGCGAAAACGCCCGGCTCGAAAAAATGGAACCGCCAGGATCTCAGGGAGTGCGGAGCCGGGCACACCCACCTCCCCAGGCGTCCGACGTCGTGCTTCCTCCGCGGCGCGAGGACGTCGGTGTTGTTGTGGGCTCCCGGCGCCTTGCTCCTCCCAGCCGGGCTGCAGCTCCAGCACGCCTCGGCCGAGGGGCACCACGGCCGACCCTTCGCTCTCTTAGCTGCGCCCCGCCCGGGGCCGTGCGCCTCCCCGCCGGGAGGAGGGAGGGATGAGAAGGAAGAGATGGAGGAGGGAGGAGGGAGGAAGAGAAGGAGGAAGAGAAGGAGGAAGAGAAGGAGGAAGAGAAGGAGGAGGAGGAGGAGGAGGAGGAGGAGGAGGAGGAGGAGGAGGAGGAGGAGGAGGAGGAGGAGGAGGAGGAGGAGGAGGAGGAGGAGGAGGAGGGAGGAGTGAGGAAGAGAAGGAGAAGGAAGAGAAGGAGGAGGGAGGAAGAAAAGGCACGGGCGCCGGCCGCAGCCGCGCGACCCGGGACGGCGCCGCGGCCGCGGCGGCCGAAGAGCGCAAGCACCGGCGCTATCCGAGGCCTGCGCTGCACGCCTTCGCCCTGGAGATGCTGGGCTGGCCTGGCAAGGAGGCGCAGGCCCTGCTGCGCACCTGGGCCGCTGGGGACCCGCAAGTCCTGGCGGCCGCGCGGCAGAGCCTCTCCGCGACACTGCAGTGCGGCAGCGCGGAGGCCTGGCGCACGGCCGCCCTGTGGCAGGATGATGTTCGCCGAGCTGACCCGTTGCAGCCCACGAAGCGTGGTCCAACTGTAACCGTTGTGCGTCTCAGCGCAGGTGTCTCGACCAGCAAGCTCTGGAGGCGGGTCGGGTGACGGAGAGAGGGGGGAAGGGGTAGGGTCTGGGGGTGGAGCAGGAGCTCCAAATTTAAACATTCGCAGGCCACAACATAGCGACACGCACGGGTAAATCTGAAGCTGCTTGGCGCGCCGCAGCGCGGCGCCAACGCGCCCATTGAAGGCCTGCTTGTCAAGTGTCTTCGCGGCCTCCAAAGCAGCTGCCACAAATTCCTCATCGAGCTCGTCGGGTTCCATGCCTCAAAGAATGTTGGTTCCATCTGAGGTTGCTGCTCCTGGAGACGTGGCTGCATCGCCCGAAGGAATGTCATCATGAAAACCACCACCCGTCCCTGTGAACTGCGAAGGTGCACCTTGGGATGGTGTAACCTGCTTGGCTTTGATGCTCTCACCCAGAATTCCCGCGAATAGTTTGAAGACATCGGACTGCACGGGCTACTTGACGGCGTCTTTCTCAGATGCATCTCAAGAGGTGACTCCTCAACCTCGAGAGCAGTATATATAGAACTGGCAATGTTGGCACAAGCTTCTCGATATTCGCATCATTTGCCTTGATATGTGCACGAGTCTGGTCGACTCGCTCCTGTGCTGTATGTATGACGACCTCTAGCTGCTCGGCGACGCTCTGCTTCAGCCTATTTCTTCTTCGTGGGTCCGTGCGAGACGCTGACTGGTCGGCTAATCGGAGGTTGGGAATGAGGCCGCAGCGGAACAGAGAGCCCCCCCACCGGGAAATCGGCTTCGGGTTCGTGTTCGTGTCGTGCGCGCGGGCGAGGCGAAGCCGCGTGGGCGCGCGCGAAAAACGATCCCGCCGTCGCTGGGGCGATTCGGATGCAAACATCCGGCCTTCTGGCGGGCGCGCGGTGGCTCGGGGGCGTCCCGCCGTGGTGCTTCGTGGTGTCCCGATGCTGTCCCGCCGTGATGTCTCGTGGTGTCTCGCGGTGTTCCGTGGCGTCCCGCGGTGTCCCAATGGTGTCCTGCGGTGTCCCGTGGTGTCCAAAGGTGTCCTGCGGTGCCCCGCCGTGGTGTCCCGATTGTGTCCCGATCGATCGTGAGATCGATCGTGAAAACCGAAACGTGGTAAAACACATCGGTAATGAGATCGATCGTTGGATCGATCGTGAGGTCGATAGTGAGATCGGTAGTTGCATCGATCGTGCGGGCGGCAGTGAAATCGATAGTGAGATCGATAGTTGCGTCGGTAGTACAATCGAGATGTAGATCGTGTGATCGATTGCGGGATCGGAAGTGTGATCGGTAGTGGGATCAAGTGTAAGCACGATTGTGAGATCGATGGAGATCGCTTCGGAGATGAAATGTGGAATCGATCGTGAAATCGGTCGAGTGAGATCGATCGCCAGATCGCTATCAAGATCGATAATGCGACCGATTGTGATATCGACTGCGGGATCGATAGCGGAATCTGCTGATTGAGATCGATAGTGAGATCGATAGCGAGATAGGTTGTGAGATCGATCAAGTGAGACCGGGAAGGATATCGGTTGTGAGATCGTCATCGCGCGTCGCCTCCAACTCGAGAGTGCGCCACCAGCAGCGTCATCATCACACCCATCGGAGTTGCCAAAACTTGGTTCCTTCCCTTACACCCAACCTCCTCATCACCCTAAAGAGTGGTCGTATAGGTATTCGTATGCTGAGTGAGTTGGGGCTTCGCTGTCGGCGAGTGCTTGATAAGCCTCTGCCAACTGCTGCTCCAGCGCCTTTGCAGCAACCAGCAACCATGCCACTGATACTTGGGAGCTTGGCGCAAGCCGAGACGGCAACCTCAAACTGCTGGACATTCTGCCTGAGCTCTGCCTGGTGTTTGCTTTCATCGGCAACCATCCGTGGAGGGACTTCGCGCTACCCCCAGACGATGATGCCAATAACTTTGCATTCTTCTTCTTAGTTGCACGAAGCTGGTGCTGTAACGGGTCTCGCCCTCCTGCGCCTGGCACGCGCTGACTGCGTGGTGGCACATCACGGGAGGGCGTTCGATCCGAGTTGGCAACATGACCTTCAGAACGACGTGCGGCAGCAGGAGCGCGAGCATCACAATTGCACGCGATCCTGGACGTCCAGTTGAAGTTCCTGCCGCATGTCGTACATGCCCACATCGGTGTTGGGGGACTGGGGAGGACTCCTCTCGAGCGCCGCCGCCGCCGCCACCGCCATGGGATACCGCCTCCCTGACGCAGGCTCTGAAACGGAGTGCCCTCGCAGCGCTTGGAGGTGGAGCGCGAGGGAAGGACGAGCAGCAAGAGGAGGAGGAGGAGGAGGAGACGAGCGTAGAGGGAGTCCCAGGGTCGATCCACCCGCCTAGGAGCCCCTCGGCACCTGGCGCTTCTCAACGCCCGTGGCGGAGGAAGACGAGGCAAGCGGACGCGCCTCGAGCGCCGGCGAGCGGGGCGCGCCTGCTGTTGTAGCTGGTGCACACGTGGTCGACGATGCCATCGAAGTGCCGAGATACGTTTCAATCAGAGAGCTTATTTCAATCTGCACAGGGGGCGCAGCGGTCTTTATATTCGGAGGACAGGGAGCAGCAGCAGGAGGGATCGAAGCAAAGGAGGAGGGAAGGGAGGACAGCGACGGGCAGGCGTGCACACTGTTTTCGGCGCACACGCACACGCCGTCCTGTCCGCTGACCCCTGTTACGGGTGGGAGGCCACTCCACAGGTCGGGACGACCAGCGTTGGAACACTCACGCGAATCACAAGAGGCGCAGACCCCAAACCGGCCAGCACGGGGAAACGCGACGGCGGCACGAGCAGGGGGCGGCGTAGCACGCGGGGTGCGAGCACTGTTTGGAAGCTCCCCGCAGAAGGGCCCTCCAGGCCGAAACGCTGGGCTCACAGGAGCGCTAGCAAGGCTACCGAGGTTCGGGAGGCTGGGACCCACACCACCAGCAGCCACAAGCTCAACGGGTCCCGCGACCAGTCCAGATGCACAGGCATCGTCGGGGCTTCGAGCGGGTACCTCAGTACGAGTGGATAGAGGCGAGCAGCCTGCAGCATAGTGGTAAGGTACGATCACAGACGGGGCCGCTCCAGGGCCAGAGACGACCGCCGAACCCGAAGTTGAAGCCGTACCCGAAGCACACAAGGCCGAGCTCGAAGTGTCTGCAGGGAGGACGCGCCCAGAACCAGCTCGAGACGCCAGCTCACAATTCACTCCTGAGCCCTTATTTCCATCAGAGGCGGTCGACCTCCGTGCAAGAGACGTGATCTCACAACTTACTCCTGAGCCCTTATTTACATCAGAGGCGGTCGACCTCCGAACTCGAGACGCAAGCTCGCAACTTACTCCAGAGCCGTTATTTCCATCAGAGGCGGTCGACCTCCGCGATCTAACGCCAGTGGCCGCAGGGCTCGAGGAGCACCCTGCAGCAGAAACCTGTAAGAGGAAAGAGGCAGGGTCGTCGTCTCCAACTCCGTCGGCGTCATCACCATCTTCAGAATCCATTGCTGAGACAAGTGAAGCAAGGTAGCGGACCGATCCGTTGGCAGAGACGGTGGGCAGGACCTCGCCTCCATCTCTGTCCACAAGGAAGTCGCGTACACGTTGTGGCGCAGCCGGTCCCATGTATTGCCTCATCTCTCTGCGTATCTCACGAAGTGCCTGGTAATGTCGATCAGCCGCCTCCTCCCATCGCTCGTGTCGAGTCAAGGCGAGGCGAGGGTCATTCAGCCACCGAAGGTATGCCACAATGTTGAGGCGCCCCTCAAGAGAAGTGTCCCAGGCAATCGAGCAAATATGACGAGCGAGTTCGTCGAGTGTGCCACCCCAACCAGAAGAATCCACCCAATCCAACGCATCTAATTTGGCGCGCACGTACGGGATGCACCACAGCAACCAGTCAGCACGGCCACTCTCGGGGTCATCCAGGCGCAAGACCCAGCGCGTAGCCCTCGATGCAATACCTTCGGCAAAGACAGCTGGTGGTGCATGCACCGGAGGGGTAGAATGCGGATGGCCAGCAAGATTCAGAACAGGAGTACCAGGTGACGGCGTCGACATCGGAGGGGTGGCAGCGCTAGGACACATCAACTGTTCAGGAAGAGCAGGGTCCTCTCGAACAGGGGGCCCACCAGCACGAAGGTGTTCGACACGCTTGACGGTCGCTCGATATTCACGCTCGAGCCGTGCCACATCCACCTCACATGTGGTTGGGACAGTCAGCGTCGCTGCACGGACCGCGGAGAGCGCCACGGTGGCGGTCAGCGGCCACGAGAACATGGATGCCGCAGGCTGCGGCGAGGTTGCCGCGGAAACGGGCGTCCGCACTTTCACGACCTGCCCTGAGGGCAGGGCCTCGCACTGAGCCGAAGCGCCAGCAGACAAGGGCACAGGGGACTCTGGCTGGAGAGCAGGTTGGCCGTCTTCATCTGAGCCCGTGGGAGAACCCGAAAGAGCACCACCGCGCACCGAATAACTATGCCTCACATCGTCGTCAGACGGAGAGGGTGGGACCAGGCCAGGGATAGGGGCCGCGGCGTCGGAGCTCAAACTGGAGGTGGACGAGGAAGTGAGCGCATCCCACTGAGGCTGCCTGCGGCGGATCGCCTGAACATCGGGAGGAGGTTCCCATCGTTTCAACTTATCTGAAGGTCTGGCGAGACGAGAGGTGCGGACGGCGGCCTCAACATAACCGCGTAGCTGACGAGGAGTCGACACGAGCGCACCCTGCCGAGCATGGTTGAAGACCTGGTAATAGACATAGAGAGCCTCGAAGTGGTCAGGGTGGGGATGGGTAATACCGAGACGCTGAGCCAGGGGACGAGGCAGGGCACGTTGTAGTCCCATGCTGACTGCCTGGTACAATTTAGGGCAGCGGAGATAATGCTGCTGCCGATCTGGGCCAGGGCATCCGAAACGGCAACGAAGTTTACCCCGTGGGTGGATAATCCTGTAGGACGTCAGCCATCCATGCCCCCAAGTCCGTAAGGCCGCCATTGCCCAGCTTTGCGGGACCAACGCCAGAAGCTCCTGAATAGCGGGCCAGTGGATCTGGTCGAGGAAGGGGTGGTAAGCCGTGAAGAGCGGGGTTAAGTGGCGAATCAGCATAGCGTGCAGCGGTTTGTGCATACACATATTCTGACCCAGTGAGCGAGCAGCCGCACGTTGTAGCTTGGGTCTGCGTGTCGTAACCTGAGCTTCCTCCCGAATAGCCGAGCGAGCGGCGACGAGTAGGGGCTCCTGAGACCTCACGTGGACCAGCTCAAGGTGTTCGACGAACGCAGGGGATTTCCAGAAAGCTGGATAGACACGAGAGCGATCCATGGCAGCCAAAGGGATAGCATCAAACTTCCCCTCCACGACCTCTCTGTGCCAAAGCGAAGCCGTTTGCCGCAGCAGCCGCAGGTATTTCTCATAGCCCTGGAAGGTGTGAACAGCAGCACGAAGGTGAGCAGCAGTAGCATGGGCAGCCCACGATGGGATCTGAGGACCACCCCAGGCCGGGAGCTCCAGGACCGATTCGTTCGAAAAGAGGCCGAGGGGAGCACGAAGAACTTGGGCGATAGCACCACGCTCAATGGGCAGGAACCATTCGGGCATAGGAAGGAATTGGGCAACATAGGCCAAACAAGGGTAAACCCGCGTGCGGTATAAGATACAGTTAGTACAGACCGACGCAACCCCACGTCCCAACATCCGAGAGCGAGATCGTGCCTTCATGAGCGGGCCCCTCCAGTTCATGTCGACCGTCGCATCAGGGCCCAAAATCATCCCAAGATAAAGCAACCACCCCTCAACAGCAAAGCCTGACCAGGCACCCGCGATCGAGGCCAGCTGGGCCTGGGTCATAGTTTTCAGGGTTTCGGTCATGCAGCCAACGAGAGGGACCAGGGTGCACTTGCTGATCTTAATCTTGAGGCCCGCAATCTTTTCCATGACACCAAGGACCCGCACCAGGATACGCAGAGAGGCCAGCTCATACAGGACAGCACCTAGGTCATCGGCACAAGCACGGCATATCCCCAGCCGACGATGCTCGATGCTCCGCTCGAGGTCGGCCAGCATGGGAGAGGAGGCGAGAGCATATAAAGACCCCGAGAGACCACAGCCCTGGATGATGCCCGAGCGGATCCAGAAGATGGTCGCGTAGCGTCCCCCATCATGGACCACACCTTCCACTGCCAAATACATCCATCCCACAAAAGCAAGAACCTCGGCGGGGAGCCCAAGAGAGCCCAACAGTTGTAGCAGGAAGGCCTGCGACAAGCTCGGAAAGGCCTGCCCGTAGTCGAACCCGACGAGGACAGGAGAACGGCGCTCAGCAAGGGGATGTTGAGATGCAAGCCGAGCATGGACATCGAGCTCAAGCACGTTATGGCAGAAATTCCGTCCTCTGATGAAGCCTCTCTGGGAAGCAGGTGCCACGGCTTGGACGACAGGCTCGAGGACCCGATTCATGACCGAGCTCAGGATCTTAACGTCGGTGTTTCGCAGCCCCAGGACCCGTATCTTATCAGGAGACCGAGAACAAATCCCAGACGGCTGATCTGAGTCGTCAACACCTTTGGGGAGAAACGCCTGGAGGGTGACGCTGGCGGAGGCGAACAACGACTGACCTTGGCATAGCCACCCGAACATTCTGGCCAGGTGCTGGGCGCCATAGTCGCACGCCGACCAGGCCGCGTAGGGCAGCCCGTCGACACCAGGAGCAGAGTGACGGGCGCGCCGGAGAACCTTCCGAAACATTGAGGTCAGAGGACAGTGCAGGTCGATGTCGGAGGCCTTGGTGAGGAACCTATCGAGGTACTTCTGGGTCATGACAGGGTGGGGCTCTTTCTTGGAGAAGACAGGGGTCCAGTAGGTCGCCAGGGCCGCAGTGCGCTCCCGAACCTCTGAGATGGGGCCCTCTGGGGTGTTGACCGCGGACAGTATCAGGCGCTTCGAGAACGGGGCCCATATGGAGGCCTTTCTCTCGAGAGCACGCAAAAGCGTGGCCGAACTAGGCCGCCAAGCAGAGGAGGAGCCAGAGGGAGCACGATCAGCAGCAGCAGCAGCAAGTTCTTTTTCGTAGACCAGCCGATGTACTCCAGCAGCCCACTGCTCGAAGGACGGGGCGTGGCGCAGCGAGACGACCTGGCCGTCGACCGTCAGGGCGTCGGCGGCGTGCTGGGAGGTCTCGATGAGCTTGAGGGCGAGGGCAGCGTCTTGACGCCACACAGCTCGCGCTATCCCACGAGCAACCAGTTGCAGCGTCCCAGGCAAGTCAGGGGCCGAATAGAAGAGGATGTTGCGGGCCTCCCTGGCGGCCTCCTTCATCATGTACTTGTAGTGCTCTGTGGCCACAGGTGGGCTCCATCGGAGCAGATCCTCATCACTATCAGCAACCATTCCTCGGAGTCGGCGCTGAAAGGCAACAGAGGTGAAGATGTGCTTGGGTATGGGCCGCTCAGAGGCAGGACGCGCACCACGAAGTCGCAGCCGAATCGAAAGAGCAGCATGATCAGAGATGCCCTGGGAGCTCAGGTGCTCTGGCGTGTCCACCGTGTTGACCTCGGTCATGAGCTGACACATCATCCAGCCTGTGGCAGAGCAGAAGAAGCGGTCGATGATGTTGATGGAATTGGTGAACTTGCAGAAGTGGGTAGCCGCTTCCGAGTTAACCTCCATCATCTTGCCAAGTGTAGCAGCCCAAATTGGAGCATGAACCTTATGATCATGGGTCTGCTGCCGCTGAACACCAGTAGGTCGGTGAAAGATAAGAGAAGAATCGAAACTGTAGTTGAGGTCCCCCAAGACAACCACAAAGTACGAGAGTGGGTCATCAGCAGCGCGACGCAGAGCACAACCGATCTGCTCACAGACAGATTGTACCTCACCCTTGGTCAAGCCGTGATTGTGAACGTTGAAGATCACAAGCTGTGTATGCCCAAGTGCCACATCAACACGAAGCACCCTGCCTCTGATCAGAGGCACCGCACAGCTACTGACCGAAGTAGATGAGAAAGGAGGAAGAATGACTGCAACTCCCCCAGAGCCGCGGACAACCTCTCCAGCGTCATCTTCACAAAAGCTACTGTGGACAATGGCCGTGGAAGAAAGCCTTGTCACAAAGTCGTTCAACTCAAATCGATCTGCATGCACTTCTTGGAGAGCCAATATGGATCGCCCAGGCTGCAGTCTGCTTAGGTAAGATAGCTTAGGCGAGGCCCTCGCCCCACCAAATTGAAGAAGAGCACGTGCATTCCATGTCATGAATGTGAGGCTGGCTGTGATCTCTCCGCCGACCTGCCCCACTGGGAGCACAAACATACTGGTAATGGCGTTAAAGACACCACTGGGTGGCCGTCGGCGCAGCGGTGATGTTTCGAATGGCTCCCTGAAGGTCCCGACGGTCAAGGCCGAGGGCGCGGATCCCCACGTCGTTCCAAGAGAGCTCAGGTGGTTCGTCACCTGGCCGTGGGACAAGACGAAGGATGTCGGTGTAGTCAGACTTGAGAACGCTCCGCTCCCGATCGACGTACCACCTCCTCTGACTGTCAAGCTCCATGAGGGAAGAGCGGGCCTTACGGAGGAGCATCTCGCCACGAACTTGTTTCGGCGACTTGTCAGGACCGAAGTGAAGACGGGCTGGGTCAGCACCTTGAGCCGGGCACTGGAAGACCCGCCAGGCGCCGTCCGTCTTGAGGTTAGCAAGGGCCTTTTGCACACGGCGGGAGGCAAGTCCGATCGGCCCAGAGAAGCAGACGGCAAACTTTTTAGAGGGGAGCGGCGTGAGAGCCTTGATCGTGTACGAGTCGTCCTCAGAGAAGTTGAGCTCGCCCATGAAGGAGTTGACCACCTCACGGACGCCAGCCAGACCGACGAGCTTGGACGAGACCACAATGACCTGCGTCGGATCGATCTCGCGGTCGAAGCCAGGCGGGGCAGGAGGCCGCGAGGGAAGCTGTCGGTCCAGCTCATTCTGGCGGCGAAGCTCCTCGACCTGCTTCTGCAGCTCAGCCAGCTGAGCGGCGTGGGCCTCGATGTCCCGCTCGGTGTAGTCGACGCGACGGCAGAGGGCATCATGCTGCTCTTGAAACTGGCGCTGCATAGTATCGAACTGTGGGCGCACCGATGCCATGACCTGCTGATCAATGGAGGTGTGCTGCGAGGAGAGCTGCTTCTGCAATGTGGCGAGCGTGGCAACGATAGGAGCGTTCGACTGCTGGGCGGAGTTGGTGATGGCCGTGGTAACGACGTTGTCGAACTCATTGCGCAGCTGCAGGAATCTCGCGGAGATGTCGGCATGGTAAAACGCCCGAGTGAAGGCGGCTTGCTCCTCCTCATCACCACAGCCAACAGCACCACCAGCAGCAGCCTGAGCCCGCGAGAGAGCGCCAGTCCCCGCCGCCGCGGCCCATGGGTCGAAGAACCCAGCAGCGGGGCCCTGCGGGGTGGCGTTCGGGTCGGGGCGCATCTCCTGCGACGGGAAGGTAGCGGCCATCTCCAGGTCTGCAGCCACTTGTGCCCGCTTGGCATCATCCCACACCTCGTAGGGCATAGCCTGAGCCCCATGGCTGGAGGCAGCACCCCGAGATGCTCCCTGTGCTGCAGGGTCGGGGCCCCGATGTGAGGCAGCAACACCAGGAGAAGGTGGGACGTCTCCGCCAGAGCCACGAGTACGGCCAGCACGGCGAGCACGGCGAGGAGGCTCAGGAGCGGGTCCAGCGTTGCCGTGGGATGAAGGCCGAGCGCGAGCGGCACGACGGGCACCTCGGCTGCCACCGCTCCGAGAGGCAGAGCGGCGGGGCTCCTCAGAGGAGTCACGGCCACCAGAGGAAGCGATCTCCGTATCAATATCATCACCACCATCGAGACGATGCACGGCATGGTGCGGGCGGTCGCAGGCGGCAGGGCCCATGACGCCTCAGAGCGCGTCGTTGTAGCCAAAACTGGGAGCGTGCTGGGGCGCACGACAGGAACGGGAGAGGCGTCCTGGCCTCGGAAGGTTCGGGCCTCCCTGTCGCCTGCGACAAGGCTGAAGCCCCAGGGCAGGTTTCAACCTTGAGCCAAAATGGCTACGGAGGAGGAGGAGGAGGAGGAGGAGGAGGAGGAGGAGGAGGAGGAGCAGGAGGAAGAGGAGGAGGAGGAGGAGGAGGATGGGGGGGAGGAGGAGGAGGAGGAGCCCCCCCCCTTTTTACTCGACAAGGGAACCCACGAGGCCTCTGAAGAGGGGTGACGTACACTCGGGCCGGGCTGTCGCAGGACCGTGTGGCCCTTGGAACTGGGGTGCTGCGCAGGCATGGGGCGATCGCTCACGCGCGTCAGACGCGTGGGCGGGCAGATGCATGCTGCGGGTCTCATCTTCTCAGAGAGGGTAGCTGAGCTAATCTGATTGGGCGTCCAAAAAACCGACGACGCAATCTAGCAAGTCCTGACCCGCGACGCCCTCTGATCGGGCGTCCAAAAACGACGACGCAATCTAGCAAGTCCTGACCCGCGACGCCCTCGGATTAGGCGTCCTCATCCCACGGCCATCGTTCTGATGACACGGATCGACCTCGGGGCTGTGGCGCTCGGGACTGGTTTCCTGGGATCACCTCCCCGCGAACAAAGACGAAGGGCTGTCTTACTTCGTGAGAACCTCGAGCCACGTCGCCACTTCGTCCTCGAGCCATGCCGCGGGCATAACTCCTGTCGTCCTGGTCGCGATGCCCTCGGCCTGGAACGCCCAGGGGATCGTGCCCCTGAGAGGCCACTGTGGCGCGGCGAGCAACAATTTGACTTTGGTGTTGTCGTGGGGAGTCTCGAGCTTCGGAGGAGGAGGGGGAGAGGGAGGAGGAGGAGGCCAAGGGGCTCGAAGAGCAGAGCAGGAAGGAGGAAGGTGGAAGGATGAACTCCCTCGGTCAGGGGAAACCGAGCCACCCAGATCCGCGGCAACGACTGCCGCTCTGAAGGACAGCTGCTGCAAGTCCAAAACCTGGGCCGGAACGGCTAGGAGGCGGGGGCAGGGATAGAGTTAGGTCGGGCGTGTCGCCCTACAGGGGGATTTGGGCGAAAAATCAGGTTTGATATTCAAAAAATGATCAGAAATAGTCAAACATCGTCCCCAGACTATCTGGTTGTTTTACTATTTTTGACTAGCCTTCCTATAGAGGGACATGCCCGACTTAAGGATAGAGGCCTCCCGGATGAGGTCCGAGAAGATTGGGTCGGAGGATTGCACCCGTTCGCCGATGTATCGCCGATGTATCGCCGATGCATCGCCGATGCATCGGCGACGCGTCGGCGATGCATCGGCGTGGAGAAACCGGGCTCCAGAGCCGCATCGCTGGTGCATCGGCGATGCGGCGCGATCCTCCGAGGCCTCCGAGGGGAGGAGGCCCAGCAGGGAGGAGGTCTGGCAGGGAAGAGGCGGGAGGAGGCATCCCCCCAGCGGGGCTGCGGCTCCAGCGCGCCTCCGCCGAGGAGGGGGGCGGGGCTCCGCGGCCGACCCGCCCGAGGGGCCGTACGCCGCCCCGCCCTCGGCCTCGGCCCCCAAGGGGTTGCCTCTCCCATCGCTGCTGCCTCCCGCTGTGGAAGGACGTCGGTCAAGAGAGGCTACGTCCATACGGAGGAAGTCCACACAAGGGAAGCTCATACGGAGTGCTCGGTCTCTGTCGGGGCTTGCCCCGTCTGGACTCAGCCTCCCCTGCGGGGGGGCTGGGTCCTGTCGGGGCTTACTCCGTCTGGACCAAGCCCCTGGCCCTGAGTCAGCTATATACCTGCACCGATGCTGGCCGGGCCCGTCCTGGCTCCATGATCGGCGTGTGCGCGTACGGGCCTTCCTGCCTCGGTCTGGAAGGCATAAGCACCGATGCTAGGCACAGCGTCGGCCTTGCTGGGATCGGTGCTGTATGTTTTGTGTCCTCTGACTCTGATGCTCAGATTTCCGACGATCGATTTTTTCAATCCTGGCATTTTTACTGGATTTCGGCCATGGGGGCCCGTTATCGGGCTTTGGGGCCATCAAAAACTGATCTGGGGCGAAAAACTACCCCCGGGGAAAATGTCGGGAATTTTTGGGCCGCGGATTGAGAACATCATATCGTCGGATGTGTGGGGACAGAGCCAGGATCCCGGTAAATTCGGATGAACATAGGCCAGAAATCTCTGAGACCTGGCGGATCCGGAATATGTGTCTGGCGCCACGGCTGATTCAGAGCGCTCCAGAACGCTCTGACAACGTTCCGGAACGCGCTGGAAAGATCCATCTTCATCCTGGGCCGGCCAGACTCTTCTCCTGCCTCAGCTCGTGGAAACCGCCCAAATTTGACCGATTCTGGTCGACGTCTCGCTTTTACTTTCGCCGCCTTCCACTGGCGAAGCCGCCGCCGCTTTACATCCGCTGGTTTTCGCCGAGGACGGGACGCGCTGAAGGTGAGGCCATTCTGGAACGCTCGAATTCGGGTCGAGCAGATGAGATCGGAAGATCGCGTTACATCGCCGATGCAGCGGCGACGCTGGGATGGAGAGCATCGTGCTCCGAATCGATCCGCCTCGCCGACGCCTTGGCGATGCGGGCGCGATCCTCTGGCCCCATTTGGGCGGCCTGAAGCTTCTCTCATCCCACCTCCCGAACATCCCAAACCTCCAACATCTTGAACAAATTTGTCCACGATCTCGGCTTTTGAGGCCTGCTTCGGCCACGGGGCCCTCAGCAAACGAAGTGGGACGGAGAGCTGGCCTCTGGGAAGGGGTCGAGAGCTCATGGGCCCGCGAGTTGAAAAATCACGGCATCGGAGGTCTGGGATTCATCTCTCTTCCCAGACGTCAGACGTCGCTATCTTCTCACAACGTGGGCCCTGGACCGCCTGGCCCCGTCACAAGTTTTGCTTGCTTTTTTTGCAGCCCAGGTCGACTCCCGCCGATCCTCCATTCCTAGGAGGAGAGCAAGGATGAAGGAGGGGGACGGAGATGGAAGAGGACGAGGAGAGGAACAAACTTACTATGGAGAAGGACGGAGGAGGAGGACGAGAAGGAGGAGGATGAGGAGGAGGAGCAGAGGATGGTGAGTATGGAGAGTCAGAAAGGGGAGACATCTTTGGAAAAGGAGGAGGCGCTTCTCCGGCGTTGGCGCTCGCCGAGAGGAGGGGGGGGAAGAGGACAGATGAAAGCGGAGGAAGAAGAAGGGGGGTTCAGGGGAAGAGGCTGTCAGGGGAAGGGGGGGTCAAGAGAGAAGAAGGGGGAGGAGAGGGAGGAAGGAGGTCCCTTCCTTCTTTCCTCTCGTCTCCTGCGACCAGTTACAACATGTATATGTGAATATGTCTGTCTGCCTGTCTGTCTGTCTGTCGGTCTGTCTGTCTGTATGTATGTCTGTCTGTCTGTCTGTCTGTCTGTATGTATGAATGTATGTATGTATGTATATATATGTGTGGATATACAATGAGTAGTTATACGCACGTGTGCCGAATTATCTTCATAAGACCGGGGGCCCCAGACAGGCCCCCCCGAATTTCGGCCTCCCGGGGCTGCTAGGACGTCCCGCCCAGGGTTGCTCGGACTCCGCTGCAAAGCGTCTTTTCGGCCTTCTGGCCTTCTCGGAGGGTCCACAGCGGCCTCCAATATTGCTCCGGACGGCTCAAGAGGCGACCAAAACGCAACAAGAAAGGTCCACCAGGGCTCCCAATAGAGCCGAACTAGAACATCGTGAATTTCCCTTTGGGTTTTGTCAGATTTCGCCGTTCCAGCATTTCCAAGACAATCCCAGACACCCCGAAGACAGCCCCCAAGAGGGACCCTAAACTATCCAAGAGTGCCTCAAGACGGCCCAAGAAACCCCCAATATCGCCCCAGGAGGGGCCTAGAACGACCCAAGAGGACCTCCCGACGGCCCAAAGGATCGCCATGATGGCCCAAACCGCTGTCAAAACCAAGAGGCACCCAACACGCACCAAGAAAAGTTCACGAGGGTTCATAAGAGAGCTCAAACAGCCGAACATCGTGTAATTCCCTTTGTTCTTTTGCGAGATTTCGCCGTTCTCACATTTTCGCGCTTCCACGCTCCAAGACAGCCCTGAAAACCCCAAGACCGCCCCAAGAGAGGCCCAACACGTCCCAAGATGACCCCAAGACGATCCCCAACGCCCCCAATGGGGCCCAAAACAACCCAAGAGGGCCTCACGACAGGCTAAATTAGCGCCATCACAACCCTTAACGCTGTCAAAGCGAAGGCCCAAGACGCACCAAGAAAGGTTCACGAGGGCTCAATAGAGCCCGAGTTGCAAAACATCGTGCACGTCCTATATTTCTTGCAGGATTTCGCCATTATCGCAATTCCACGCTTCCACGATCCAAGACGGCCCGAAAACCCCCAAGACCGCTCCAATAGGAGCCCAAAACTACCCAAGAGTGCCTCAAGATGGCCCAAGAAATCCCAACGACCGCCCCAAGAGTGACCCAAAACGACCCAAGAAGGCCTCACGACGGCCCAAACGAGCGCCATGACTCATGACTGACCCACGCGGCTTCAAAATGGATCACAGCAACCCCAAGAATGCTCAAATACGACCCGGGGAAGGACAACGAAGTCACATTGAGAACTCACACGTGTCTGTGTATGCATGTGTATGCACATGAATGCACACATATACAGATACACGCCGCCTGCGTGGGAAATTCAAAGGACCAAGGTGCATGTCGTCTTGTACGCGTATACATATATATATATACACACAAATCTATGCATAAAATCTAAGCTTCCAACCCTGAAGGGGAAACCCGCCATATCGGCGACCACTCGAGAGAGTTCCGAATACGATGGATCTCTCCAAGGGGTTAGGAACACGGCTCCCCTAGTTGCGGCGGGTCTGACCAGCTGCCACAACAGCAACTGCGGTGCAACTCGCTTCAACCAAGCTTCACTCGACTCGTTCGCGACCTTTGAACCATTCCACTGCTACTTGGCCTGCGGACCCACACGTCTCAACGGACGACAATATATTTCCCTCTTCCAAGCTGCGTCGCTGCTTGTGTGTACCGCAATGCCTGCATACACCGTGCTGCCACTGTACACCACTATGCCTGTGTGTAACCAAAGCTTGTGTACATCACAAAACTTGTGAACAACACAAAGACTCTGGGCACCACAATGCCTGCGTAATTACACATCCCCTGTGTACACGACGATGCATGGGTACACAGCAACGCCGTTATGCACCACCTGCTGCACAATGAGCCTCTGTCTGCACCACGACGCCTGTGTGCGCTATAACATCTGTGTGCACGGTAGCAACAGTGTGCACCACAACGCTCACGTGCATCACAATCCTTCCGTTCACCGCAATGCTATCGTTTTTCGATGTCAGGCATTCGCGGACCCCATGAATTAACGGGTAGCCTTTCAACGGCCACCCCATGGCCACTGGAATGGCCATTTGTCCTTTCACAAGTGGCCCCTACAGGGTTCGGATGGCTACTCAATGGCCACTTGATTACAATTTCACTCGAATTCAAAAGAAGCCTGACACACAGAAAGTCTTTGAGATGATGGACAGGATGCGGGACACTTGTGAAATTACAAGTGGCCGTTGCGTTGAGTGAGCATTGAATGGCCATTGGGCGCCACCCGTTAGTTTAGGGTCTGCACGTGCGTGGCATTGAGAAACAGAGCCGAACAAGGACAACTGCTGAAAAGACCAACGCCAAACGGTACCTCGACGTCGGGACCTCGATGGTCGAGGATCGCCCGAAGAAAACTGCTCTCACAATGCCCATGTGCCCCGCAACCACTCGACCCGAGAAGCGAGAAAAGGCAAACTCCAAGGCATGTGTGGTGGGGAGGGGCCATGCCGTCGGCCTTGGTTGACGACCTTCTTGAACAGGTCCTGGCCCCAAGGTGGACTCTCTTCGGAAACTCGACCGCGTGTCGGCTGAACACACGCGCTAGCGAACGCATGTCCACGAGGCACTGCTTCTAGCATGTCGTGGCAATCTGTTTCATACGTGAGGTCGGCATGTCGCGCTGTGGACACAGGGGGGAACGTCTGCGTCGTGAGCATACTGTGTGATCTGTATCCGTGATCAGTATTTGTCGTGCTTCGTAGTCCGTCAGCTCATTTTTTTTTTTTTTTTTTTTTTTTTCTCTCTCTCTCTCTCTCTCCCTCTCTGTGGTCGCCAGCCAGCTTCTCACTCGCGTGCCTTCTCTGAATGGGAAAGCGCTCGTGCTGCGGGCCAGTGCTTCACCCCGACCAAAAAATTACACCAGAGAAAAAGCCCCAATCAGTGGATGGTTTTCGCTGAATCGACCAAGAACCCGAGAGCCCAGAACCCAAAACCCACCGAATTCGGCCCGGAACCAATAACCGGGAACCCGGGAGCCCGGAACCGGGAACCCGGGAACCCAGCCTGCCACCAAAATCGGCGGGAAACTTTCGCCAAATCTTTCAACTTCCGCTAGGACCCCTTCAGTGCAAGCACTGATTGGGGAACAATCCATCTGCCTCTGAAGCTTCTTCTGCATTTCGCCACTGTGCAGTAGGCACTGGGTGGAATTACGTGCTGTCCTTTCGAATCGTAAATGCTTCCAAACATGCCCAAGGCCTCGATGCCTGGCCGCTCTCGCACGATCCTGGCGCTTGTCCCGGGACACTTCCGCAGGGCAACATTACGTGAGCAACCCTGTGCTTGCCAAGGCTTTGACCCCCTGGAACCTCCCCCGGGTGCCAGGATGGCCCCCGAGTTCGCCAAAGCTCCCCGGAGGCGCCCACAAGGCCCAGGGAGGCATCCGAGAGGCCCCAAAGAGGTCCCAAAGAGGCCTGCCAGAGGCGCCCTGGACGCCTCAAGATGCCTCCGGGAGGCATTCCAAAAGAACCGATATCCGAAAAGGCTTATGCCCGCAACCCGTGCACGGTGGCGGGATGGGACGAAGGCGTATTCGCGCACGGCGAATGCCGAATCCTACTTGCTCGTCGATCCCTTGCCGTATTTGACAATCTTGTTCCATTGTGCACTGGTCGACTTCGAAATCTCATGCTGATCTCAAGAAGTGAATCAGGTGTTGTAGAACAGAACACGAACGACCTGCGCTTGGGTTACGCAATCATGTGACGCCTTCTCTGGATCATCCCGAATACATGTCGCCCTGTTGCGCGCATTTCGAAGTTCGCTCGCCCATCATTATCCTCCTCCTTCCGTCCTCTGATCATGGCTCGCTGCCTTTCGAGAGTGCGGACGTAGCGTCCAAGCCTCTGGAGTCGAGGTTCAAAACTTGAACAAACTGCTATACCTCCCTCTCTACAGAGGCTCACCTCCGCACTCCCCATCTCCCCCTCCTGCTGTTGCACCTCCTTCTTCCTCCCCTTCTTCATCTATCTCCCCTTCCCACCTGCCACCATCCTTCCAGCACCGTTCCTCGCCAGCTGGTCCGGAACCCCTGCGCGGGACGTTTCGACTCTTGCTCAGACGGTATGCGTCTGCAGGCAGCCGCTTTCGCCCGCGACCGACGGGCTTTCATTCGTCGGCCCTCGAGAGCACGTCGCGGCACATCTCCCCATCCTCGAGGTCTAGGCACGCGTGCCAGCGTCGCTGTCGAGACGAGGCGCGTCTCAGCCAGGCAGCGGATAGGGAGGAGGAGGCGACACGAGGAAAAGCTCCCTCCCTTCCTCCCCTTCCCATCCTCCACTCCCACCCGCCCCGATTCCATCCGTCCCTCGCCCTCCCTCCCTCCACTCCCCCTCCCTCCTCTCCTTCCTCCCTCCCTCGGCTATGCGACCCTCGGCAAGATTGACATCTGGTGCGCCGATTTAGGGGGCCGCGGGGGAGCCAAGTCCAGGTGCGCTTGCCTGTGCTGGGGAGACCCCGTGGGCCCGCACCAATAGTCACTGCGGCGAAGGTTTACGCGGCTTTCGGGTCGAAGCTCGGCTCGGGTCTCCAGCGGCCGTCTGAGACGATTCGGGCACCCCTGGGCGGCTCTGGGCGAGGTGCGGCTGCTGGAACGCATCCCGAAGTAAGAAGATTACCAGGCACCGATGAAGACGTCCGACACACCCGCACACACGTGGTCGCAGATCTGGCTCCCTGGCTCCCCCTCCCCCTCCCTTCCCTCCTCCCCCTCGCTCCCCTCCTTCCGCTTCCCCCTCCCCCTCTCTCCCCTCCCTCCCCTCCATCTCTCGCCCTCCCTCCCTTCCGCTTCCCCTTCCCTTTCCTCCCCTCCTCCCCTCCCTCAGCTACACGACCCCAGACAAGCGTGACCTCTTGCCTCCACTCCCCGCCCAGCGAGTTCCGGGTCTCTGTCGAGCGGGGCGTCTGGCAGGACGCTCAGCTTCTGGTACACCACGAAGGAGAAGTACGCGTCCTCGGCCGCGTACTGCCCGCGGGGCCCCGTCTCCCTCCTGCAGAATGGAGGGCCGGGGCCACGCCGGCGTGCTGTGCCTCGACCAGCCGCGCTCACCTGCCGAGTGCGGATCGGGTCGACTCGGCCGGAGGAAGCGTCATGCTCCGCAGCGCCATCTGAACGTCGAACGAAAAACGGGTCTTACGCGAGATGACGTAGCGACCTGACGCGGCGGCTTACGCGCCGGCGCGGCACGCCTCATTGGAAGCGAGGGCGCTTACGCGCAGCGCTCATCCTGGGCCGCTAATTTTGGGCGGCCACAGGTATGGAGCATAAGCAGCTGTGGCAGTGGATATCTCGCCCTGCCCAGCGGCCGAAAATCACCACAGCCCCAACCATCCACCCTGCCTGGGGGGGGGGGGGGCCAGACCTCTTCGCGTAGTGTCAAAAACGACGAAGGAAGGCCGGCGCGGGCGTCCGGCCGTTGTCCAGGACAGGCATCGCCGCGGGCAACAGCGTAACTCGGCCAGGTCCACTTCGGCTGGGGCTCAACTCGGCCAGGTCCAATTCGGCCAGGCTCACCTCGGCCATGCTCAACTCGGCCCGAGCTCAACTTGACCAGGCTCAACTCGGCCAGGCTCGCTCGATTCGGCCTGGCCGAGTTGAGCCTGGTCCCACTCCTCCCCCTCCTCCTCCTCCTCCTCGTCCTCCTCCTCCTCCACCTCCTCCTGTCCCTCCTCCTCCTCCTCCTCCTCCTCCTCCTCCGCATCTTCCTCCTCATCCTCCTCTTCTTCCTCTTTATCGTGTTCCTCCTCCTGATTGTCATCTTCCTCCTCCTCTTCATCCTTCTCCTCCTCCTCCTTTCCTTCTCGTTTTCCTTCTCATTCTCCTTCTCTTTCTCCTTCTCCTTCTCCTCCTCCTCCTCTTTCTGTTATCTATATTGTTTCTTCTCCTCCTCCATACCTTTTCTCAATCAATATATTCTCTTCCCTGTCGCACCCCGATGCCAATTTTCAGGGCGGGCCGGGCGTTTCGCCAGAGACTTCCTCACCATTCATGATTCTGAAGCGTAGACATTGACAACAGTTTCACAGATGGAGGGCGGGCCGTTTTCAACTTGTGGCTCTCGCCTCAGCGCGGCGCACATTCGTTTTCAACATTTGCAAGCGTTTCACGGATTGCAGGCGAGTGGTTTTCAAAATGTGGCTTTCGCTTTAGCGTGGCGCACATTCGTTTTAGACAGTTGCGAGAGTTTCGCGGTTTGAGCGCGGGCCGTTTTCAAAATGTGGCTCTCGCCTTAGCGCGGCGCACATTCGTTTTAAACATGTGCAAGAGTTTCACATATTGAAGGTGGGTGGTTTTCAAAATGTGGCTCTCGCCTTTGCGCGGAACATTCGTTCTAAAAAATCGCAGGTGTTTCACGGATTGAGGGCGAGCGGATTTCAACATGTGCCCCCCCTTCAGCGCGGCGCACAAGAGTTTCACGGATTGAGGGCGGTTCCTTTTCAAAATGTGGCTCTCGCCTTAGCGCGGCACACATTCGTCTTAAATCGTTGTAAGAGTTGCACGGGTTCCAATCATCAAGGTGCCAGAACAAAGGTTATTGAAACAATTTCGGATTATGCGGGTGCAGCAGTTATGTTGGTTCGCTGTGTTGGAGTCCCAGGAATGGAACTCTGGCGCGATTCAGGATTGCACGCGACAATCAAGTTGATCCGTGGGGTTGGAATCCCGAGAACAATGCTTTGGCATTCTTAAGGGTCTTCAAATGGTTATCTTCCAAAGAGGCAACTCCTACAATGGAAATGAACCGTTGTAGGGGCCTATGAAGAGGGAGCTTGGAGGGAGAGATGATTCCAACATCGTTGATGACTCTTGGGTTTACACTGGTCCTCCTCCTCCTCCTCCTCCTTCTCCTCCTCCTCCTCCTTCTGGTCACCCTCCTGCTCCTCCTTCTCCTCCTCCTCCTCTTCCTCCTGTCCCTCCTTCTCCTGCTCCTCCTCCTCCTCCTCCTCCTCCTCCTCCTCCCACTCCTCCTCCTCATCCTTCTCCTTTTCCTTCTCCTTTTCCTTCTTCTTCTCCTTTTCCTCCTCCTTCTGCTCCTCCTCCTCCTCCTCCTCCTTCTCCTCCTCCTCCTCCTTCTCCTCATCCTCCTGTTTGTGGTATTTGTTGTTCCTTCTCCTCTCCTCCTCCTCCGCCTCCTTCTCCTCTTCCTCTTCCTCCTGTCCCTCCTTGTCCTCCTTCCTCCTTCTCCTCCTCTTCCTCCACCTCCCCCTCTTTTTTCTCCTCCTCCCGTCCTCCTCCTCCTCTCTCTCCTCCTGTTCCCAGTCTCCTCCTCCCCTCCTCCTCTCTTCCCCTCATCTTGTTCCTTTCCTCCTCCTTCTCCCCTACCCTCCCTTGCCCCCTCCTCTGCCCCCTCCTCTTCCTCCTCCTCCTCCTCTTCCTCCTTCTCCCTTTCGCCCCCCTCCTCCTCTCACGGATTTCCATGATCAGCGTGTCAGAGATTGTGTCTGGAAGGATTCAGGATTATGAGGGTGGACAGTTACGTTGATTCGCGGTGTTGAAATCCCAAGAACGTTGTTCTGGCACGATTCAGGATCGTCACGACGCAACAGTCAGGTTGAACCGTGGGTTTTGGAATCCCGTGAACAATTTTTTGGCATGCTTCCGGGTCTTCAAACAGCTGTTTCCCAACAAGGCAGTTCCCTCGGTGGAAATGAACCCAGGTCGCGGCCTAGGAAGAGGGAGCTTTGAGCTTGGAGGGTTTTTTTTTCCAACATCTTTGATGACTCTTGGGTTTACACTGGTCCTCCTCCTCCTCCTCCACCACCTCCTCCTCCTCCTCCTCCTCCTCCTCCTCCTCCTCCTCCTCCTCCTCCCCCCCAGGCCCAGTTGGACCTAACCTGCACGAATTTCACTCACGCCCGCGCAGCTTCTTTCTACTTCGTCTTCGCTTCTTTCAGCTTGGGCCAAGGGACCGTTTACTGCGTTCGCTCGCCGCCGGGCCTCCAACAATTCAGTGGAGAGGCGCGGGCGACCCGCGCTGCGTCGCCCGAGGCGGGGAACAAGATGCCGGCGTGGACGCTCGCGGGGGTGTGGGCGCACAGGTGGAAGGACAATGAGCACGAGAAGAACGAAGGACGAGGAGAAGGATGAGGAGAACGAAGAAACGAGAAGGACTAAGAGGACAACGAGGGATGGATATGGGGAAACGACGAGAAAGATTTTCATCAAGGGGGTCGGAGGCAAAATGGGTGAGAATACAGTTGGACTTCATTGGACAGGACACGCGAGAGGACACAAGACCCTTCCGAGGGCCACATCGCCATAGGAGTGTAAGGAGGCACGCGTCGCGAGGCACAGGACACAAGGGCACCCTTGAGCTGGCAGGGTCGATCTACTAATCTGGGCCGACTGGAGTGAGGTAGGGTAGAGTGGGGAACACAATCTACTGGACTATCTGGCCGAGCGCAGTCCGCCGAGTTGGGACCAGCCGGGTTGAGCCTGGCCAAGTGAGGAAGCTAGGCGAACACGTTTGCGCGACTAAGAAAACGGTCTGTAGTGACGCGCGCGTTTCTCTAATTGTTCCGCTCCTGCTCATTTGCTTTTATTCAGAACTAAGGGAACGAGGCAGGACAGAGATGACGGTCAGGAATATGATGTGAATGAAGGATGTCGGAAACACGAGAAGTCAGCCAACTAGGGCAAGCAATTTGCATGACCACGAACCTATCTTTAGCCACGCACAAGTATTGTCGTCTTTGGGGTGCGTCGGTACTCTCTTCTCGTTGTGATTTCTCTTTGCCCTGCTCCGCTTTTTGACGTGCTGTTCCACTGGCGCCCTTTCGTTTTCTGTCTGCCCCGGATGGACTTACGCGGCCACGCCAGCGCGCGCGCGCGCTACCCCGACTTACCGTTCTGGTGCAGTCGTCCCTCGCGAAATGAAAGTTCATTCGTCGGACTGTTGGTCTGGGATTCTGCGCCTGGTTGCCTTTGACTGCGAGTCCTCGACTGCGGGCCTGTTCCTCGGCTGGCCTGATCCAGCTCTGCCCGCTGCGCGCCCTTGCTTACTTTTCCTGCGCGGGCGACGCGCGCGTCCACGCGCCACGCTACGCGGTCGCCAAACTTCGGCTGCAGCCACGAGCTGGTTTCCGTCGGCGCCGAGGGTGCAGTATTCGACATGACCTAAGGAACGACTCCCTTTTTTCCAAGTGAGTCTAGGAAGTCCGAAGGAACACCAGAAGGGGGCTCGCCGCCAAAAGGGTAGCGGAACGCATGCAAACCAAAATAACGACCGAGCCCCTTTTGAAAAGTTAATGTTCCTTACTCAAGCCCGACCCTGTACTGCATATGGTCGGCCAGGCCCAACCTCGAGAGGATCAACTCGGCCAAGCTCAACTCGGCCGGCTCGATTCGGCCAGCTCAATGCGGCCAACCAAACTCGGCCAGTTCAGCTCGGCCGGAGCTCAATCCGGATCGGTTCGATTCGGCCGGAGCTTAACTCGGTCGAGTCAGATCGGCCAAGCTCAACTCGGCCTCAACTCGGCCTGGGCTCAACTCGGCCTGGCTGAACTTGGCCAAACTCAATTTGGTCGGACTCGGGCTGTAGCGGGAGCAAAGCTCAGCTCGGCCAGCTCAACTCGGCCCGCTCCATTCGGCCATGCTCAACTCGGCCGGCCCAAGCGGGCCAGGGCTCAAAATCTGTCCCAGCTCGACGCGGACCTGGCCGCGTGGAGCCTGACCGAATTGAGCCTGGGTCCCTCATCCTGGGGGTCGTTCCTCTTCCTCCTTCTTCTCCTCCTCCTCCTCCTCCTGGCACGTGCCCCAAGAGCGGACAGCGGGTTCAGCCTTGGTCACCACCTTGCTCGACGCGATGAAGCGCCGCGCGAATGTGAGGCAGCTTTTCCTCCTCCTCCTCCTCCTCCTCCTCCTCCTCATCATCATCATCATCATCAGCATCATCATCATCATCGTCATCATCCTCCTCCCCCTCCTCCTCCTCCATCCATCCCTCTTCCTTGCGCTGCAACGGCTCCTTCATGTCGCACCCCCAGGCGTGCCCGTCGGGCGGGCCAAGCGCTTCGCCTGAGACCTCCTGGCCGCCCCCCCCCTTCTCTGATGCTGCATCCTCTGCCACCTCCTCTCCGATGCGGCGTCATCTGGCCATCCCCCCCTCCCTTTCTGGTGGCAGAGCGATGCCGCCAGGAACTGGTTTGTGAGCTCGGGGCGCACCTCTGGCCGCTCCCGTACGCCACCCTCTGGGGCCAGTGCCGTGCTCGGACTTACAGAGCCGAGCGCTTGCCCTCGCCCTTCCGAGGCAAACCCTCCGAGGACAGCGGGCAGTGTCGCGTCTGACGTGCCGTCTGCTCCGCCTCAGTCACTTGTCTGGGGCGCGCTCCCCGTGCAACATTGTACGATGTGCGATGCCTGCGTCCGCAGCCCAACTTTCCACATCCTCTCCAGCTGCGCAGGCACCTCCGCATGGAGGCAGCGCGTCTGGGGCGTGCGGAAGTGTGCCCCCCAAAGATCAAGCAAGACTGCGCCAGGGTCCTTCTTAGCGTGCACCTGGGAGACACTGTGTACGCAGAGGCATGCCACCTCGGGGCCCACTTGCTGGAACGCTGCGAGGCCGCATTCTGGGCAGCTTGTCGCGCCGAGGCAAAATACTCCGCCTCCTTGGGTGACCGCCTCTCCCTCCGTCCTCCGAGGTCTCGTAGCTGCGCGCTGCGTTGCCATGAGGCGGTTGGGAGATCGCGCGGGGTTCCTATTGGCTTGGGCGCCTGGAGGAACCCTCTCCCAGGCATTCCCACCCCGAGCGCGCCCTTGGGTCGAGCCGAGGTCCCCCGTCTGGAGCGCAAAGTGCGAAATCGATCCCTCTCTTGACCAGGGACCGACCGTCCCAGTATTCCTATAGGCCTACCACGATATGTTCGTAGAACCAAAATCTGTTCCCACAAACCGACACGATGTCCTTAGAACGTGAGCCCGATGTGTCAAAACAGGACAGTCTCAGCCAGAAGTATTCCAAGACCCTGTCGTGAAGACCAGAAAAGGTTCTTAGAACATTCTTTCGTGGGCCTATAGGCAAGCCAGGACGCTTCGCGACTGCTCGACTCACCTCCCCGCTCCTCCCTCCCTTCCCCCTCCCCCTTTCCTCCTCTCCTCTTGGTGCTGCCACGTGCTCGCCTCTTCCTTTTCACTCTCCACCCTTCTCCTTGCCTGCAGAGTAGAAGTGGTTTTTGGGGCACCTCCGCAGCTATGCTCTGGACGGGCCCGGTTCCCTCTCGATGGGCACTGCTGAAGTCGCCGTCGGTTGCTGGCCCCGGCTCCGTGGCCCCTTTCCTGTCGAGGCTGGGCCGAGGCTTCAACATGCCAGCCCAATGGGGGGCGCTTCCATCCATCCATTCATCCCGTCGAACCCCCAGCCGTGTTGGTACGGCGGGCTGGGCGTTTCGCCAGCGACTTCCTCGCCATCCCCCTCTCCCTCTCTGATGCTGCATCCTCTGCCACTTCCTTCGAGCAACGCCGCGCATAGAGATGGCCTGGGTTAGCCGGATCAGGCGCAGCCGTCTGCATCTCTGCTGTTCGGTAAGCTCCTTGTCCGCCCAGTTGGACCGCGCAATTCTGGAATCCTACGTGGGGGAGGGGGAGAAGGACGCGGAGGAGGAGGAGGCGGAGGAGGGAGTTTGACACCCAGGCGCTTGGAGACTTGAAGAAAAGCACCGAATCACTGAATCCAGCCATGGCGAAAAAAGGATTGCATGGAATCTCGCCCTCTCCATAAAGCCAAGGTCAGGGATGATGATGATGATGATGATGATGATGATGATGATGATGATGATGATGATGATGATGATGATGATGGTGACGATCATGAGAAGGAGGAAGTCGATGATAATACGAAAACTGTTATTGCTGTTGTCGTCGTCGTTGTTGTCGTCGTTGTTGTTGATATCTCATTTCAGAACAACAACTCTTGATGATCCCCCCCTCCGGCTACCGTTGCATTTTTCAATTAAAATGCTTCTCCCGGGGCTCGCACCCTGTCTTTCTACAGAAGAAAATAAAATGTCACCACACTGTATCCCTGGCCCCGGGTTTACAACAAAAGTGGCTCCCGCCTGATACTTCCTCACAATTTATTACCAAATTGCGCTCTCGCGCGGGACTCCCTCACAATAGATACAAGAATCGCGCTCTCGAGTGGGACTTCCTCGCAATTTATTCAAATTCCGCGCCCTCGACACTCCGGAATCATGCTCTCGCTGTGGATGTCCTAACGATTTATTTGGGAATCGAGCTAACGCTCGAACATTCCGCGCGATTCGTGTTGGGCGCACGCATCAGTGGCCCGCCTGCTCGGCCTGACCGCCTGGGCCCGCCTTCCTAACCCGCCTGTTAGGGTCTAGCCGCCCGATCTGGCCGTTTGGTTCTGCCACGTGTTTTCTGCTCCTAGCCCCCCTCCTGCTACTCTCTCTCGTGCTCCATCCTCCTCATTCCCCCTTGTCCCTTCCTTCCATCCGTCCTCTCCTACCCTGCCTCAGGGACTGCTCGACATGCACGTTGCAGGTAAGAGAGATATATACTCCCAAGGGAATACGATAGAAGACGAGGAGGGCGGGCATCGAAGGTTAAGGATATACGTGTTGACTGGCACGCGAGCAGAGAAGAGCGAACAATCTTAAAATGCTTGTTGTTGCTGCTGTTGTTGTCGTTGCGGCACGCGAGCAGGGAAGAGCGAAGAATCTGAAAATGCTTGTTGTTGCTGCTGCTGTTGCAATTGCTGTTGCTATTGTTTGTTGTTGTCGTTGCTGCTGCTGTTGTTGTCGTCGTCGTCGTCATTGTTGTTGTTGTTGCTGTTGTTGTTGGTGGTGCTCGTGGGCCCACCCCATTTAATTGTCAGTGGCGGGGGGGGCCTGGGCGCCGCCTGCTTTGGACGCCCAAGGCCGCTGGGCGGCGCCCCACGCACACGCACGGGCACCGGGCGACCCGCGGGAGCGTGACGGGGGAGGCGCGCCGCATCGGTGGGGACGGTTGAGGGGACCCCTGGCGGGCCTCTCAACTATGTGAGGGGCCACGCAAGGGGGGGCATACAAACGCGAGCAAGCTGTCGCATCGCCATTGGTGGCCGGGGGCGCCCAGTGGGCTCGGGCGCTGTTTAATGGTGGGGCAGTGATTAAGGGGGGCGGAGAAATGCAGGTTCGTGTCGTGCCGACCTCGGCGTCGGTTCCTGACGCAGCTGGGATCGTTCAACCTTGAACGATCGGCCGTTTTCGAAGCGTCATATTCTTCGACGTCGACCGATTCTGGGTCGCTGGCGGCGTTCAGCGTTGAACGCCAGCGGCGGGGTCGCCGCCAGTCGACACGACACGAAGCCACCGTACAGCTTCAGTGCACCGTCGGGGGCCCAGGGCGCCGCCTTTGAGCCCCTCCCAGGCCCTTTGCCTGCAACCCTCGGCCCCCCCCCGGCTTGTGAGGGGGATCTCGTTGGGGGTGGACTGGCTCAGGGGGGGAAGCGTCGGCCTAGAATCGGCCGCGCCTCGCCGACAGATCGGCGATTGGCCACCGAAAGCGAAACCGCGCGTCGCAAGGCGGGGTGAGCTGTCGGGCCCATGTCAGCGATCACTGGATGATGGGGGGTCGATGGGTCCCACCCTGAGCCTACGCCCTCCACGCGTTGCCCCTGACAATCCTAACTACCGAGGAAAGCAGGATGAAGCTGAACGAGGGGATTTTTCTTCTCCGACGACCATCGCAGCGCAACCTCATGGTCATGGTGACGGAACAGAAGGGTCAGATAAGCGTGGCCCCAGGGGCGAAGCGCAACCCAGACGAAAGTCGAGTGCCGCGCGTACCAGCGTTTGCTCAGTTTATGTGCTCTCTCACCTGAAATCTGGAATCCTTAGCTGGAGGGGAGGCAATGGCGATTTAGGCATGGGGGAGCCGGCTGCGGCTGGGGACAGGCGCCGGGCGAGACGGGGCATGCCCGGAGGGCCAACTGACAGCATGCAGTTGCTCTAGAGCATATGATTTCCTCACCATCGCTCAAACAGGTTCAAAGCGGGATGGTGATAATGATGGTGATGGTGATGGTGATGATAGTGATGGTGATTGTGATGGTGATGATGGTGATGATAGTGGTGATTATGGTGATGCTGATGATGCTGATGATGCTGATTATGATGATGATGATGATGATGATGATGATGATGATGATGATGATGATGATGATGATGATGGTGATGGTGATGGTGATGGTGATGGTGATGGTGATGATGATGATGATGATGATGATGATGATGATGATGATGATGATGATGATGATGATGATGATGATGATGCTGATCAGGTAATAGGGGAGTGGTCTGGGAGCAGTGCTCGGCTCAGCCACCTTGCATTCGGCGTGCACGGTCGCAAGATCCCCGCGGGGCCCAAGCCCCAGGCGACGAGGGAAAGGCCCCAGACGCCAGACAGGGGCAGCCCCCCGCTACGATCCCTGGTGTCTGAGACCACCAGGAGCATCGCGGTCAGGCCGCCCCCTTCCGCCCGAGCCCTCGCGGGCTCGGCGGACGTGAGAGCTCCCAGACCCCGACGGAGGGCCGCCGACGGCCGCCCTGGGGCCGTCGGCTGACTTTTTCGAGCCGCGTCCAGCGGGTTTAATCAGTGCGCCCTCAGGCCGGCCCGCGGCTCGAAAGGCGTGCGGCTGGCTCGGGCGGCTCAGCCAGGTCAGCGCCCCGCCACCGCCGTCGGCCGCGTCGAGCCGCCTGGCCGCCCGCCTCGTCGCGGGCGCGTCGCGGGGCGCGCCGCTTGCACCGCCGCCGCCGCCATCGGCCTCGTCGGGCCGCCTGGCCCCCCGCCGCGCTCGCCCTCCAGCCGCTCCGCCCCGCGGTGGAGCCGCGCTCGGCGCTCCGCGCGCGGCGGCGCGCCGCCCGCGCGCGGCCCGCCGAGCCGTCGCGGCGGCCCGCCACAGGGGCCCGAGCAGAAGCCTGTCCCGCGTGGGGCACCGCTGCCGCGCGGCGGCTGTGTCCTGGGTCGCGCTCGCCAGCGAGAGCGCGCCGACCTCCGAGGCGCGGCCCGTGCCGAGCTTCCACAGGTCCGAGAGCGGGGCCGATGAGACGGCCAGGGCTGCTTCCTTCGCCGCGCCAGTGTCGATGAGCCCTGCCGCCGAGGTCCCCTCTGGCACCTTGGTGGCCACCGCGCAGAAGCACGAGGTGCCGGGGGCTAAGATCGCGACGAGCGGCTCCATGAGGCGCGGCGCCGAAGCCTCCGCGAGGCGAGGCGCGGAGGCCTTCGCAAGGACGAGCGGCTCCGCGAGGCGCGGCGCCGAAGCCTCCAAGAGGCGCGGCACCGAGGCCTCCGCGACCAGCGGCTACAGGAGGCGCGGCGCAGAGGCCTCCGCGGCGAGCGGCCCCGCGAGGCGCGGCCCCGAGGCCCCCGCGACCTCCGCGATGAGCGGCTCCACGAGGCGCGGCGCTGGTACCGAGGCCTCCACGACGAGAGGCTCCACGATGCGCGGCGCCGAAGCCCCCGCGACCTCCTCGATGAGCGGCCCCACGATGCGCGGCGCAGGCGCCGCCGCCTCCACGACGAGCGGCACCGCGAGGCGCGGCGCTGAGGCCTCCGCGACATCCACGATCGGCCCCACGAGGCGCGGCGCCGAGGCCGAGTCCTGCTCCTCCTCGCCCGCTCCCGCGATGAGCTCGCTGGGCGAGGGCAGGGCGCGCGGCCCGGCCGCGTTGCGGGGCGGCGTGCCGCCGCGGGCCGCCGCGACGGCAGCGGCCGCGGCCCGCGCCCCAAGGGCGGCGGCCGAAGGCCGCGCGGCCTCCAGGACCTCGCCACGCCGCCGCCAGAACTGGGCGTCGGCCCGCGCCTGGCGCAGCAACGCCTCGGCGGACCAGCGGGCCCACAGACGCCCCTGGGCCCGCCGCCGTCTCCGGTCTGCTGAGCTTGCGGCGGCCGCGCCAGCGTGGCAGGCCGCCTCCCGTTCGCGCGCGTCAGCAGCATCGGTGCGCATACTCTCTATGCGGCAAGGCGAGCAGGGCTTGGGCCGCATTGCAACTTTGCTGATGATGGTGATGGTGATGATGATGGTGATGATGGTGATGACGAGGATGACGACTATGCTGCTGGTAATGATGATGCTGGTGATGCTGATGCTGCTGCTGTCGATGATGATGAAAAAAGATGGCTCTATTGATGATGACGATCACGACGACGCTGGCGACGCTGACGATGACGACGACGATGACAACGATGATGATGCTGACGATGAGGAGGATGACGATACGGACGATGATGACGACGATGATGCGGCTGTTGACGGGAATGCTGACGATGATGATGATGCTGCTGATTATGAGGATGATGCTGATGACGGTGGTGGTTACGAAGATAATGATGATGCGGAAGATGATCTTGAAGATAGTGATGCTGATGACGATGGCGATGATGCTGATAATGATGATGTCGATGACGATGCTGGTGGTGGTGATGATGCTGAATTTTGTGATTATGATAATGCTTTTGATAATGATGCTGATGATGCTGGTGCTGCTGCTGTCGATGATGATAATGGCGACGCTAACAATGATAACGATTACGACGACGCTGATGACGATGACGATGACGACGATTATGATGATAATACTGCTGCTGATGATGATGGCGACGATGACCATTATGATTATTGTTGTTGACGGTGATGGTGATGGTGACGATGATGATGCTGATGATGATGCTGATGATGATGATGCTGATGATGATGATGATGAGGAGGAGGAGGAGGATTATGAGGAAGGGGAAGAGTAGCCCAGACCTCTGACCCTGCGACAAGCAAAACCACAACGAACGTGCTGTTTTGCTGTCGATTGCCGGCTCGCCTGAGGGGGGCGGAGGGAGGTGGGAAGAATCGGGAAGTGAAGAGAGGGGTCAGGCGCGTCCTCCCTGAGGGCCTGCGATGGGGGGTGGGCGCGTGCGCGCGCGCCTGCGGTTGTCTGTCCTCTCGGCTCTCTCCCCTCCGATGGCCACAATGAGTAAGGAAGCCAAGCCCGATGCGCCGGAGTGCCCTCTCCGGCTCTCTCTCCGCCGATGGCAAGGCGTGGGCAAGAGAACAAAGCCCAATGCACCTCGCGTCTGCGGGGGAGGGGTCCGCGAGAGTCGGGACCAGGGCTTCCCCCCCGAAGGCAAGCCAGCGGCAGCGCGTGGACGGCAAACACACCGACTGGGAAGGACGCCCAGCGCCTGCGCCCCAGAGCACCTGGAGCCCCCTGACACACCCCCGAAGCCCCTTTCCCGCAAGCAAGTTCCCTCGGAAAGGGAATCTTCGGGCCCCCCCCGGGGCCCGCAGAAGTGGACCCGCGGCGGCCGCCCCGTCGACAGAGCACGACGCTGGAAAATTATGGAGAGAACATGTCCCGCCAGCATGGTCTCCTCCATCTCAGCAGTCGGGCCTCGCCCCCCCCCCCCCTCTCCCTGCCCCCCCCCCTCGGCTGGCATACAGTGACCCTGGGCAAGTGTGACCTCTGGTGCGGAGCTTTGGGGGGCCGCTGCAAAGCAGAATCCAAGTCACCCCAGCGCGCCAGCCAGTGCTGGCGGGACCCCTGCGTGCCCGCACCCAGAGGTCACTCCAGCGCAGGGTCGCTCTTGAGCGTAGCCGGCCCGTTTATGGCAAAAACGTCTGAGTCCAGCGTGCTCCTCGCCCGGCCCGCCCTCGGCGTGCCTGTCGCTCCCACGACGCCGCCCTCCACGCGCGCCTTCCTCTGCTCTCTCCTCTCCCGCCCGGCGTCGCCGCTCCCTGCGCTCGCGGAGCCTCTGCGCAGCAGGCGGGCGGCAGCTGGGGCAGGGCCGATGAGGGATGGCAGGCCGAGGTGTTTCGGGCAACTGGGCTGTGGGAGGGGGAGCTCGAACTTGCCCGTGCGCTCGGCACTCTCGAGCAGCGAGGCGAATAGGACTCCACGGAAGAGTGGGAGTCTGGCGCCGAGCTGTCTTGATTGGGGCATGGATCCCACGCTGAGCGCACACCCGTTCCGTTCCATGCCTTGCTCGCGCCGAGTACGGGAAGCGCGTGCGGCTCGCGCTCAGACGGCGGAGAAGACCTTGGCTCGCCTCTGCGCGGGGTGCCGTCCCCAGTGCTGCCTGCACTCGCGCGCACAAGAGGTCGCATCAAAGCCAAGGCATGCATACCAGCGCGTGCCGTGGAATAGTTCCATCAACCTTCTGACCCCTTCTGTAAGGTCTGCTGGCCGGAACCAGGACTGCCCAATTCAGACACTTCGCTGATGATGTGGTGCGTACCATCGACCTCTGAGCTGTCTTCCTCCCCCCTTCGTGCCGGTATGCCCAGAAGGGAGGGGAGGATGAGGAGGAGGGTTGAGGATGATGATAAGGGGTGAGGTGTAGGACACGAAAAAGGAATGAGGAGGTCAACGAGGATGATGAAAAGGACAATTAATCTGTTAAGTAGGGACGGTGGATATGACAGGATCAGGGATGATGACGATGAGGGGACTGACGATGCTGGAGAGAGTATGGAGGGAAGCCGATGAGGAGGAGAAGGAGAAGGAGGAGAAGGAGGAGGAGGAGGAGGAGGAGGAAACTCCAGGGCCAGGATTGGGATGATCATGATGAGGAGAGAGAGAGAGAGGGAACGATCAAAGAGGACCATTGCAGAAGCAGGAGGAGGACGTGGAGGAACAAGCGGATAACGTATGAGGATGATGACGATGACTGAACAAGAGGATCGAGGAGGGGGAGAAGCAGCGGTGCGGCCAAAGAGTAGCGGCTGCCAGCCTCAACAACCAGGCACGCGATGGCGACACGGTGGGCCCTCAAATGCGTGTTGTAGTGGCTGGAGGAAACAATCGGGACGACTGGACCGTTACGAGCATGAATGACACTGTCCTTGAACTCCAAGTGCATGTTGCTCAACAACACGAGGCGTCGGCATGTGGCGCTGAGGGAATTCGTCCAGTCGTCATAGCTACGGCCGTGCCTAATGCGAAGGGAGGAGGAGGAGGAGGACGAGGAGGAGGCGGAGGAGGAGGATTCAATGCAGGCTCAGAAGCCAGTGGAGACCAGGTCAAGCCTGGGCACACAACAATCTGTCACAGCTGCGGGAACCTGCCTCCGCTCTTGGGAAGAAGGCCCCCGGAGAGGAGGGGCAGCTCAGCAGCCCGAAGTGTCGAGGAGAGGAGGGGGTTTCAGGGTGTGGAGGGGCAGACAAGGAGGATCTGATTTTGTTTGAATGGTCTAGGGGTTGTCGAGAGGGAAGGCGGGTATGAGGTGGGGGAGTGGGGAAGGACGGGTAGGCGCAGGAGGGGAAGGAGGAGGGGGAGGGGGAGGTGCAATGTCCTTCTTCATCTTCATGCCGAAATGTTCTGACAGGGACTTCAAGCCTTGCGCCGCGACGCCCTTCACCTTCGCGAGCTCCTCCGCACGTCTCTATGAAAAAAACACCCAATCAATCACCGTACCTTCGTGAGATCCTTCACATGTCCGAACTCTCTCTTCACCTATGCGAGCTCCTCCGCACGCCCGAACAATATTTGCACAACGTTTTAGTATAAGCTTGACCTTCAAGCATTGTGCCGTGGCGCCCTTCACCTCTTCGCACCTCCGTGCAGAATGCCCGAGCGTGTAGTGGAGATGGCGCTGACCAGATTCGTTGACGCACGGAGTCGAGCCTTCGGTCCTCCAGGACTAAGAAGCCGACATCCATGATCCCGTAGGGCGCATGGGACCACTCAACTTACTTCTCAGGAGGAGCAGGATCAGAAGCATGGGAAATAACAGAAGAGGGAGAAGGAGGGGGAGGAGGGGGAGGAGGACGAAGACCGAGACATATCAAACTTATGTCAATCACTCCCTGCTGCTAGCGCGCCGGTTTTTCGGTGCCATCAGAACTTACCGCCGCTGGACCTGTTGCGGCAAGCCAATTATCTCTATCTCTCTGTCTCTGTCTGTCTGGCTGTCAGTCTGTCTCTCTTTCTGCCTGTCTGTCTGCTCCCCCCCCTCTCTCGATATGTTTGTGTACGCATGGGGTTCGCCTGCTCTATCGGGCGCTCGGCCCCACACGCCCCTGCTGCCCACGGGGGCCTTCTCTCTCCCTGCCCAACCTCCCTTTCTCCCATCAACCCTCCTCTCCTTCACGCTCGCTTTCCCCCGGTCGTCCCTTCCGCCCTCCTCCCGCCTGCACCTCCTCGCCCCTTCGCTCCGACATGTCGAGGATGCCCAGAGGCAGAAAGTTGAAGGTACTCTGCATCTTCTGTCGGTCGGGGCCGTCCCATCCGACTTGCACCTGGACCAAGATAACGGGTACAACATGCAATGAATTGAGAAACGAGTCACGTAAAACGTGGTTCAAACTTTCGACGGGTATGCTTATCGCAACGTGCTCAACAGCGGCAGCTCTGTCAAACATAGGAGATGGCGTGGTCACGCCCGCCCGCAGACCATCAAGAACTGACACGTTCAAATGACGAAGAGGATGGACACACAACGTCGCCGTGTGAAACTACTAGCCACGCCTAAAGTCGCAGAGGTGCGTAGTTGAACGAACGTCGATACGTGACTGCGCATGCTGAATAATATACGGGCGCGGCTGAATCGCACATGTATTTTGCGTGCGCGTATGCAGTCACCTCACCACCCTGGCACTCGAACTACGAGCAAGCTGCTGGAAAAAACTGGTGGCGGAATTAATCATACCGGAAAACCTAGAATAAATCATACTGGAAAACTTTTACTTGCGTTTTCGACAAATCGGTGGCGGGGCCAACTATCTTGAATACGCCAGCCCAAAATCCAACGAGCAACACATGGTAACGAATGACAGTCAAGGCGCTTGCCTGCTCCTGGCGAGCAACGTTTTTTCAGTATGCACTTGGAAACTCGCAATCACAAGCTGGCCCGAGAAAGCCACGCGACAGACGAACATGCTCAACGTGTCTTCTTCTGGTTGGGGGTGGCATGAGGAATACGCGGATGACGGTCTTGGACAGCGCACAGTTCTTCCGAGCGGGATCGTGCCGAGGAGGCCGCGCAGGAGACGAACTTGCTCAACATGCACTGTTCTTGCTGTTCTGAGGGGGGCCGCCCCGAGGCGGCCACGCCGAAGACGCACCCACTCCAAGTGTTCTCTCGAATGTTTCGAAGGGCGACCGGCCCAAGGAGGCCACGCGGAGGACAGCCTTGCTCAACATGCCATTCTTCGTTCTTTCGGCAAGGCCCGCCGACGCGCGATTGCTCCCACCCCAGGCCTTCTGAAAAGGGAGCGAGCGAGCAGATTCATTCCCCCCCTGCAGTCTCCCTGCAACGGGCGAGGCCCCAAAGACCACCCGCCGAAACTGGCCAGACCCGACATCTCACCGTAGACGGATCTACGCTTCCTCCGAGCTTGTGCTGCGCCGAACGCAACGGCCGCGCTGTCCATGGACGCATCCACCCCGAATGTGTCTATATACGTAACGGCACCCGACGCATCTACAGACGCTTTTGGCTAGAACGTGAGAGCGGTATTTGGCATATGCCCCAGATCTGGATCTTCTAGACGCAGGTAGACTTTGCCCTCCAACCCAGGCGCACCCACAAGCGCTCGCAGGCGTCCCTGGGCGCTCCCACGCGCACGCAGGTACGCGCAGGCGCTCTCTGGCGCTCGCACGCGCTCCCCGATGCTTGCGAGCTCTTGCCGAAACCAAGTGCGGGGACCAGCCAGCAAGATGGCGGCGGGCTCGTGGCCCACTATCATCTCAGAATCGGCGGGGGGGATCACACATCCGATGCTGCAGTGTGCACCGAGCAAGCCAATATGATGTGCAATCGATTGGTCATTGCGTCTGGACATGGGTGACCTGCACGAGCGCCTGCGTACATGTTCGCACGATGTTGCGTACTAATGCTACTGTTGCTGCACCCGCTAGCATCATTACATTCGCCATATTCCTACTGTCGCTGCATCTAAGGCGCACATCCGTCTGTGTGCCCGATCCCAATACCAACACGCCACCACCAATACGAACACCACTGCCACTACAACAACAACTTCCATAATCAACATGGAACCTCATACTGCTCCCGGCAGGATGGTACGCGCCCCATCCACACAAGTCACACCAGCCCTCCGGGCGTAGGTGGTCTAGGGAGGCTCCTCTTTCAACACAATTCTTCCCCTTCGGGGAGGGGCTTATCATTGTTCCCTATTAATATACACCCCCTTCCCCATGCGACCGGCAGCCAACAAGGAACCATGCTCACCCCCCCATCCCTGTCAACAAACCATACAAAACGCACTCTGCCTCCAAACTAGGGGCATGCGCAACCAACCCGATGCGCCCCCCCCCCACCACCCCTGTCAAACAACCATACGAATTACACGTTGGGGCAACGTCTGGAGTCATGTACGAGGGGCCCGCGAGCACTTTGTATTGTATGTTGAAAGGAATGACGGGGGTGTAAGCATATTGCCTGCTGTGCGCAGGGCTACCATCCCTGACAAAACACAATACAAAATGCACCTCGCGGCTAAATCTGGATCATGCGCGGCCACCCCGCGATTATTGTCAAGTGGTTTTTGACCGGGGCGGCTGGGTTGGTGGCGTATGGCCTGCTGTGCGCAAGCCCACCAGACACAATGATGGGCTTTGGTTTTCGACAAGGATGGTGGGTGCCGACACGATTCCCGATGTGTGCTGTCACGTGCGCAGGCGCGCCTGACACACTCTGCACGTGCCCCGAGCGTGGCGCACCTGGCGCGGCTGGAGTATGCGACACACCTGGCGCACGCGGAGGCACGTGGCGCATCTGGCGCAGCAGGCGTGCCTGGTACGTGCGGGCCCCAGGGGTGCCTGGCGCTCGTGGCGCGCCTGGCACGAGTGGCGCACCTCGCCCCAGCGTCGCGCACATGGGCTCGGTTTTGGTTCCCAGTAGCTGTCCATCCAAAGACGACCGCTGAACATGCTGATGCTCGGGTGTTACTTCTGTGTTGGGAGGGCGGGTGGGGGTGAGCTAACCCTTCCCCTGCCCCCTCCCCTGGACCTGGACGGGAGGGGGCGGCGAGGCATTGGAGCGTCCAAGATGGCCCAAGGTGGCTCAAGATAGCGCACGCTGCCTGAAGACGGCTCCCAAAATGCTCCAAAAAGCCCCAAGAACTTTCCAATACGGCTCCAAAAGGCCTCCGAGACCCCCAAGGAGGCCCCCAAGCAGCCAACATCTTCAAACACCTATGAAACATCAATGATTGTTGCTTTCTCGCCTTTTCGCTTCCGATGACCATCCGAGGCCTCAAGATGGTTCCAATATGGCCCAAGAGGGCACCAGGAGAGACTCAAGAGAGCCCCAACACGGCTCCAAAAGCGCCCAAGAGCGCCCCAAGAGGCGACTTTTGGGGCTCCCCAAGGGGGGGGGGGCTGAATTGGGGAACCCCTCTTCTTTGGTCGATCTCCTCCAAGATGGCCCCAAGAGCGCACCTCAGGCTCCCAAGAGCGCCCTAAGATGGCCCCAAGAGGCGCCCAGACGGCCCCGAGAGGCGCCCAAGATGCCTCCAGGATGCTCCAAAGAGGCCCCCAAGAGGCTTCAAGAGGATCCCCGAGGCACCCAAGACGCTCTAAGACGGCCCTGGGCTCGCCAAGATACCCCTTTCCTCCTCCTCCTCCTCCTCCTCCGCCTTCTCCTCCTCCTTGTCCACTGTCTCTTCCTCCTTCCTCTTCACCCTCCTCCTCCTCCTCCTCCTCCTTCTCCTCTACCATCCTCCCCCTCTTCTTGGGGTATCGGACGGCTTCCCCCGCCCGTTGTTCTTCTGCATGCTCCCCCACTTCCCTGATCACCTCAACTCCTCTGGCCATCGTTTCTGGATGGGCTGGTGGGGATAACGCGAAGCGTCAACAGATGTGGATGGATCGCCGCGCACCCACTGGTGACAATGATGCTGACGTGATGTCCCGCATTCGCGTGAAACTTGGAGCGTTGCCGCACCGCGCAGCCCGCACCGCGCTGCACACTTGCACGCCGAAGCAGGCGGCCGACGGAGGCAAGCGCAACAAACTCGGCGGGTCGACCACGATGCGAACGCCGAGGGACCACCCCGCCGCCGGACGCAGCCGGGGCACGGCCGCCGTCCTGCGCTCCCCGGCCAACGGACGAGGCCGCCGTGCCGCCGCGGCCCGGACGCACCAGGTGGCGAAACCATCGCCGACCGTCATCGCTGAAACGGGCATGGATCGACCGGAGGAAGGGCAACAACGGCACCAGCACAAACTCTCGGAGGTCCGCGCGGACTTCTCGGATCCGCGCTCCCCGGCGCGCGGAGCGCCCGAGGGGCGGCGCCCGAGGCACCGCCAGCGGGGCCCAGCGCCGATCCAATACATCAAGGCGGGCCTCCGCAGTGTTTGTGCTGTGTGCCGTTTCGTCTTCTTCTTCTTCTTCGATCAACGCCACTGGCGCGCTGTGGAAAACAAAAAAGACGCCCCCCCCTGCTGCGGCCGCCGACGTCTTCGCCGGCGGTGGCGTGCACGGCGTGCACCGTGGCCGCGCGCTGCCTATGTACATGCGCGGGTGGAGCGTGACGTCGCCATGGGGCCAGCAGGGTCCCAGGAGAAACGGGTCCCAAGTTTGCGCGCACCTTGCGGCCCCCTCCCCGAGGCACAGGACACGTCTCCCTCAGGACCAGCTTCCTCCACGGCGAGCGCAGATGGCCTGCGGCATCTCCCCGATTGCCCGCGCCAGGGGGCATGAAAGCCGCAAGCCCTAACAGAAAAATCACCGGCAGCCAGCACGATATCAACGGTTTCGCCGGCCACCTTTCCTCTTCTTCTTATGCGGCCGCCCTGTCTCTTCGGCCTTCCCAGCCTTGGCCTGGCCCTTCCTGGCGCTGGCGGCGGCCTCTGACTCCATCTCACCGACCCATGTGACCGTGCCCACGCCCTTGACCAGGGCCTCGCGGAACACGATCGGAGCGCCCACCTCTATCACCTCCGGGTGGCCCTTCCTACAGGTGGGCCAAGAGACCGTTTTTTTTTGAATCGGCGATAACCCGGGATGTCCGGGGGGGGAGGAGGAGGCCGGCCGATAACCTAACCTTCGCGCTGTGGGCAGCCCTGCATATGCCCGCGGCCCCCCCACCCCGGACCTGCACAACCGGCAAGGTCAGAGTATCCTGGGGGGGGAGGGGGAGCAAGTCCGATAACCCGGATTATCGCTGGACCCTAAACGAAAACAGTCTCCAGAAAGCCACAGAAGACCACTTTTGGATGCCCGCGGGCAGTCTCTCCGCCAACGCCAGACTTCCTCTCCGACCCTCCCTCCCCCTCTCCCTCGCGCGCGAGGCGCGCCAAGGGGGAAGGGATGGGCTCCCAAGCCGCTCGCGGACGTGCTTCTTGGAGCGTTGTGGGGGGGTGGGGGTTCTCTGTCCTCCGCAGCGGCGCGCCAAGGGGGGGTATGACGCGAGGGGGACAACTTTCTCTGAGAAGGCCATGGGGCCCCTCAGAAGAGGCCAGACGCTGCCAGTGGACAACTTCTCTTGGAAGGCAGGACGGCTTCTATCTGAGAGGCCCGCCCCCCCAAAAGCACCTTCTCGGAAGATCTCCCTCCTCGCCCCCCTCCGCGTGGCGCGCCGCCGACGTCCAGCGGAACAGCACCTCGGCGGAGTCGCCCGCCCTCAGCGTGCTCACCCCCTCCCCTTGCATCCCGACAAGCCGGGCCGTGTGCCGCACCATCCCCACGTGCAGCACGGGCTCGTAGCCCACCTCGGGGGGCCGGCCAAGAGCACCCTGGGCCGCACGGGCTCGCAGGCCGCCTTTCGACACGGGCTCGCAGCCCACCCCTGAGCACGGGCCCGCAGCCCACGTTTGAGCCTTGCCTCCCTCCCTGCGGAGGGGGGAAGGACAGGGAGGACCAGGCCCCCCGCCGTGGTTGTTTCACAACGTGGGCCCCCGGAGGCTTGGGCCCCTTCCCCCAAACCAGCGTTTCATCCCGAATCGTTGTTCGAAATGTCCGAGGCCGAAGATGGCCAGCTGTCCCGGCGGAGGGCTCAACCAGATGCAGTTGTGACTGCCGTGTTGTGGGTACCGCTTCCGGTGGAGCTCCGTATGGGGCTACGAAACGTCTGAAGGGGCGTGCCGAAATGGGCGGGGGGACGCATGTGGACTGTGCCAGTGGAGCCTTCGGTGGAGCTCGCTGTGGGGCCACGACACGTGTGAGGGGTGTGCCGAATCGGATGCAGATACGCCGTGCGCAGTGTGCCACTGGGGCCTTTGCTATGGTCGAAGCGTGTGAGGGGGGTGTACCGAATCGGGTGCACGCCATGCGCACTCGGTGGAGCCTCGGAACATGTGAGAGATGTGCCGAATCAGATGCGGGTGCGCCATGTGGACCCTGCCGTTGAGGCTTTCGGTGGAGCTCGCTAACGTGTGAGAGGTGTGCCGAATCGTGTGCGGGTGCGTCATGCAGACTGTGCCACTGGGGCTTGCGGTGGAGCCCCGTATGGGGCCACGAAACGTGTCAGGGGTGTGCCGAATCGTATGTGGGTGCGCCATGCGGACTGTGCCGCTGGGGCTTTCGGTGGAGCTCCCTATGGTGCCACGAAGCGTGTGAAGGGTGTGCCGAATCGCCGAATCGTGTACGGGTACGCGATGCGGAATGTGCCGCTGGGGCCTTCAGTGGAGGTCCTGATGCTGCTACAAAGCATGTGAAGGGTGTGCCGAATCAGGTGCGAGCACGCCATACGGACTATGCCGCTAGGGCCTTCGGTGGCGCTCCCTTTGGGGCCACGAAGCGTGTGAGGGGTGTGCCGAATCAGGTGCGGAAACGCCATGCGCACTGTGCCGCTGGGACCTTGGGTACAACTCCCGCAGGGGGCACCATACATGTGACGGGTGTGCCGAACCGTGTGCGGGCACGCCATGCGGACTGTGCCGCTGGGGCCTTCAGTGTAGTTCCATACTGAGCCACAGAAAGCATGTGAAAGGTGTTCCGGATCGGGTGCGGGTACGCCACGCGGACTGTGCCAGTGGAGCCTTCGGTGGGGCTCCCTGTGGGGCCACGGAACGTGTGAGCGGTGTGCCGAATTGGATGCAAGTGCGCCATGCGGCCCGTGCCGCTGGGGCCTTCGGTGGCGCTCCCTATGGGGCCACGAAGCGTATGAGGTGTGTGTGTGTGTGTGTGAGGTGTGTGTGTGTGTGTGTGTGTGTGTGTGTCGAATCCGGTGCGGGTACGCCATGCGCACTGTGCCTCTGGGGCCTTCGGTGGGGCTCCCTGTGGGGCCACGAAGCGTGTGAAGGGTGTGCCGAATCGGGAGCGGGTACGCCTTACGGACTATGCCGCTAGGGCCTTTGGTGGAGGTCCGTATGGGGCCACGAAGCGTGTGAGGGGTGTGCCGACTTGGATGCGCGTACGCCATGCGGGCTGTGTTGTTGGGGCCTTCGGTGCAAATCCCAGTGGGGGCACAAGACGTGTGAGAGGTGTGCCGCATCGGTTGCGGATACGCTATGCGGACGATGCCCCTGTGGCCATCGGTGCAAATCCCTGTGGGGGCACGAAGCGTGTGAGAGGTGTGCCGAATCAGGTGCGGGTACGCCATGCGGACTGTGTCGCTGGGAGCTTCGGTGGAGCTCCCTTTGGGGCCACGAAGCATGTGAGGGGTGTGCCGGATCGGGTGCGGGTACACTATGCGGGCTGTGCAGCTGGGGCCTTCGGTACAACTCCCTTTGGGGCCACGAAGCGTGTGAGCGGTGTGCCGAATCGGGTGCGGGTGCGCTATGTGGACTGTGCCGCTGGGGCCTTCGGTGGAGCTCCTTATGAGTACACGAACCGTGCGAGGGGCGTGCCGAATCCGACGCGGGGGCGCCACGCACGCGTGCGGCACAGACACGTGTGAGGGCATGCCGAAATTGATATGTGGAGGGGCGTAGTGCAGAGGCACCGATGGGAGGATGGAGGAGGGGGAGGAGGAGGGGGAGGAGGAGTGAAGTGAGACGCGGGGCACTGTCTCTGCAAAACGAAGACCCAACAGCATAGGATGGCTGGGAAATCTTTTCCGGCAGAACCTGGCTCAGGATGAAAAGCTGGCCCCAGCGAACAGGTCTAGAACTGAGGGGGTCTACGCGTCGTGAAAAAAACACGACGTCGGAACTCTGAAGTGGATTGGCGCTCCGCACTGGGCCTTGATGGAGCTGGGGTGCTGCAGTATGCTGATGTTGGCCTTGAGGTGTGTGGTCGCTGTCAGCGGGGACTGCTTGCTGAGCAGCACCCTGTCGCAGGGAGCACCCGCATGATAGATGTTTGACAACAGAGGGGGCCCCGGGCCCCAGGCGCTTCCTGACCATGACCCTGGCGCAACGCCCGCTGAACAGGGGGAGGATGAGCATGCTCAATCTACTTGCGCTCACTTACATCGTGAACCCCCCCATGCCTCCCGCGGCTACTTGCAGCGTGCCCCCAGCAAGCCTCGACCTCCTCTCTTGGAACTTTTTCCAGGTCTTGTGCCGTTTCTTCATTGCCTTGGAGCACGCAAGCGGCCTCTGGACGCCGAAAACTGCAAAACAGATCCGGCGCTTCTGGAGGCCAGGGCAGCCAGGGCCCGCCCCTGGCAGTTTTTTTGTGCTGAGGCCTGCCCCTCGAGATCACGCCAGGGTTCTCGGCGACCGCGGCCTTGCTCTTGCCCTGCAGCTTGAGCGCAAAGGTGCCCACGGAGCCTGCCCCCAGCTCCGACGCTGGGGCGTCCTCGAACCGCATGGATGAGACCCTGGCCTCGAGGAAACCGCTCTTGCCCAGCGGGATGCCCTTTGCGCTCACCAGGGGCCCCACCATCAGAGGGTCGCCAACCCTGACGGTGCCCCTCACGATCCGCCCGCTCACGACCAGGCCCACCCCTGGCACCTGTGGGAAGACGTCCTCGGGCCGAGGAGGAGGAGGCGGCGGAGGAGGAGGAGAAGCTTGAAGGAGGACGATGCTGCTGCTGCTGCCGCTGTTGCTGCTCATGCTGCTGCTGCTGATGATGCTGATGCTGATGATGCTGATGATGCTGATGATGATGATGATGCTGATGCTGATGCTGATGCTGATGCTGATGCTGATGATGATGATGATGATGATGATGATGATGATGATGATGATGATGATGATGATGATGATGATGATGATGATGATAATGACGATGACGATGATGCGAAGGGAGGAGGAAGGCAGAGAAAGATGAGGAACATCTGCAGCCCCACGTACTCGAGGGGCCCAGGCCCCCCAAAAGAGCGATTGGAAGGGCCCTGGCGATGCCAATCAGAGCGATCGACACACGAACCTCTGGACTCCGATCCCTCCTGCTCTTCCTCCCTCCTCTGCCTCTTACCCTCAGCGGCCTAGCAACAACGCGCGCGGTCCTCGACGACGACGTGCACGTCCGTGCCCGCCTTCACCGAGGGCCGCGACCGCTTCTTCAGCAGATTGAGGAGGAGCTTCAACTCTGGGATCATGTGCCCCGTCACGGCGGAGCACAGCACCACGGGAACGTACCCCTGCAGCACGCGCTCGGAGGCCATTACAACGTCGTGCTTATCCTTGATCCTGAAGAGTGGTGCGTCCATCGATTTCATCGTCCTCTTCAGGTCGGCCAGGGTTGACGAGACCGCATCGTCCGACGCCATGTCCACCTTGGTGAGACATACGATCGTCGGGATGGACAGTATGCTCCCCACCATCAGATGCTCGTGGATCATCCCGCGCATCTCGCCCCTGTTTGCGTCCAGTGTGCACAAGAGGTAGTCCGGACTCAGACCGATGAGGCCACTCAGCGTCGTCTTGAAGTATCGCTCGTGGCCGCAGAGGTCGGAGAACGTGACCAGCTTGGCTGCGCGCTGCACAACTGCCGCATCCCCCCCATCGAGCACGGCCCTGTGCTGCGGCTCCTCCGTGCGGAATGCCCTCCCGTCATCTTCCACGTAGTTGACCACTCGGCCTCCCACGTCGAAGCCCAGCAGCAGGCTGGCGATGCTGGAAGTCCTCCCAGTGTCGGCCTCATGCTGGTGATTGAACACGGCCGAACGCGCACGGCCGCGGCCATCGTCGCGCGTGCCGCGCGACAGCACGCCCATGAGAGTGGACTTGCCAGAGTCGACATTCCCCACGGTGCAGATCCTAATTGCCTCGAAGCCAGACTCCCTGATACCGTCCTTCTGTGCAGGCCTCACTAATGCTGTCACAATAGAGCGGTTGCCTGGTGGCAAACCGTCTCTTCTGCTCACAACCGTGGCAACTGCAGATATCTCGGACGCCATTGCGTCCAAGGTTTGGATAGACAACGCCAGTTCCTCCTCGTCCAGCCCCACGACGCTTCCATCGTCTGCCACGCCTATGTGGTAGATAGCCTCGCGGTGATGTCCTGTCGGGAGGGAGAAAGATATGCCACTCATCAGACACGCGGCCCTTTTTCTGGACCCTCCTTCCCTCTCCACCTCATGTTTCAAGTGTATCGTGACATCATGCGACATCACGGCTACGTGCGCGCGTTTCTTTTGCCCAGGCTCCCAAGTCGTCGACGCCGATGTCGACGCATGCTTCAGCAGAATCATCCGCGCACTCGCGCATGCGCCAGTTGAGCTGCGTCACCAGCTCGTCGAAGCGCTCCGAGCCCACCGCGGCCGAGAGTTTCTTCTTGTACTCGATGTTCCCGCGGCCGTTCTCTGGCGGGAACCTGATCGCGCCGGCCTCGGCTGACACCAAATGCCCCCCAAGGGGTGGTGGACATGGCCAGCAAGGTTCAATCAATGCAACATGGGCCTCACATGTCTTGTGGAAACCTCGATCCTCGTGCTTGGCTCCTACTCCTCCTCCTCCTCCTGCATGGCCAACCCCAGAAGCCCAGACTACGAATCTGTTGACGTCTCACGCCTGCTTCCGCCGCCTTCCGCCGGTGGGCCCACGGCCGCTCTACTTCCGCGGGCTTTCGCCGATGGCGAGATGCGCCGAGGTGTTGAATCATCCTCGGGGTGCCAGAGATGGCCCAGCGCCAACCCAGGCCAACCAAGGCTATGTCATGAACCCCCGCCAGCCGCACAGTAGCTCCAACCCTGGGTCTGTGGAGGGATGGGAGGGGTGTCGGCCCTGCATGGCTCCCAGTCCCGAGCCAGCCAGAGAGGACCAGAGGGGATTAGCAGACCCACGTTTGCGCTGTACCCCGTTGCGCCCCCCCCCGAATTCTACAGTCTCCCTGGGACAGGTTTTTCACTGATCTGTGCCTTGACGGTCCGGGGCCCTGTAAGGGCCCTCCAGAGCCGACAAGTCTCAAAAGCTTTCCTTCGTGATCTGCTCGCTGCGCGAGGATGTCAGGGAAGGCGAGGCCGCTCCTGGAGCGCCCCGCATGTCGACCCCGACTGGCCGACATCGGCGCTGACCCCTGTTACGTGCCTCCCGAGCTCCGCCCCTCCCAAGCCTCCGACGTCGTGCTTTTTCCACAGCGCGGACCCCCGGAGGTCTGGACCGCACTCCCCCAAGACCTGCTTTTCACCTTGCGCCATTTTTTGACGGTCCCGAGGCCCGGCGGAAGGCCGAAAATTGTCAAAAACCTCTCTTCTTGTTTTTTTCGCGGAGATAAAGGGGTGTCTGGGTTCCCCCTTCGCCCTTGCCAGCCTTGACCCTTCCCGCGTCCACGCCAGACGGGCCCTGCCGCCTCGCGACGCCGGAGCGCAGCCCCCGCCATGCCCTCGCACCGAAGGCAACTGGTCGGCTACACGCAAGAGTGACCCTGGGCAAGAGTGACCTTTGGTGCGCGGCTCTGTGAGGGCCGCGGGGGGACCAACACACAGGCGCACAAGACGCTACTATCGTACTCCACTCGCGATTGGGGGGGCCCAATGGGCGCGCACCAAAGGTCAGTCTGGCGAAGGGTCACTCTTACGTGTAGTCGAACTGGACACACCGCCACCACCCCTGGCCACGGGGGTCCCGGTCTAATTTTCCAATCCCCAGGCCGTGCTCGCACTTGGGGTATCTTCTCTGTTTTCCAGGATGCTGGGCCTGCGTTTCGGTCCAGCAGCAGTGACGCCGCCGCCGTCGCCTTACCGCCGCCTCGTCGCCGCCAGTCGTCTGGGCCTGCGTGTTGGTCCGGCGGCTATGTCGCCGCCGTCGCCGCTTCGTTGCCGCCCCGTCGCGGTCTCGCAGGGACTCTCCTTTCTGACAAAGAATTGGGGCCCACCGCCCCCCCGAAGCCGGAGCTATCAGACTCCTGGGGATGTGCAGTTTGCAAATGGTTCTGCCCCACCGTTCTCTTCACATCTGGCTTCATATCATCCCCACCAGGCCGGGCTCGACTCTCCCTTCATCCTCGTCAAATCAAAGTATGCGCGCGCACTCGTTTGGTAAAACATGTCAATATGCTAGAACATTGTGCAACACATGGAACGACATGCACATGTGCGCGTCTTCGCGCGCGCATGCCGGAATCTTTCAACAATCTTCGGTTTCGTATGGATTGAAGAACCGAGTGCCCCGAACACATGCGAAGAGCAAGTGCCTTTGGAGCATGTGCTTCAAAACGATCGGCGTTCCAACATGTCCATCAGAGGCGGCCGCGCTTCGCGCGCGCACGTCGAAATCATTCGAATGCCTTTGCGCGCGTGCTGGGGGGGGCACGATCCCTTTCAAAGCATAGTTACTATGCGGGCCACGCACACCCGTCGGCCGCAAGCGCATGCTGGAATCTTTCCAACACTTTCATCACCGACGCGTGGGCACCGTCATCGTCGTCGGCGTGATCAGCATGGGCACCGTCATTGGCATTGCCGTCGTCATCATTCTCGTCGTCGCCATCATCGCTACTATCAACATCGTGTCTGCCGTTGTCGGCGTCGCCATGGTGCCGCGCCCGCCCGGGCCACCGACTCGAACCGAAGTGGCCGCGCGTCAGCGCGGCATGCAAGACGCGCTGGGAAGTCCCCGGCGGTCAGCGCCACCGCGGCCTGCGTCGGTCGCACCAGCTAGCTGGCCCCTCTGCGCGCGAGCCTGCGCGCGCCAGCGCCGCCGCAGCGATGCGCCAACCACCGCCAAGCAGTCATCGCAATCGCCGCCGCATGGGTTTTGTAAACCAAGTTGCAGGTGGGTGGTTGGGTGGGATGACTGCGCGAGCAGTGCAATTGTCAATTTCAAACTCGGCAGGGGTGAATTTACCGCATGGGTTGCACTACATAGCTTGCACCACATCGAACGCACAACAGGTTCGCACGAAGATTACACAACATAGCGTGCACCACATCGTCAAGCTAGTTGCCTTGATCATGGAAGTGTACAAGCGTCCAGTGCAACAACCGCCTTGGAAACGTTTTCTCGGAGGTCACTTGGAGCCATCTTGGGGCTCTCTTCGGGTCCTCGCGGAGCCTCTTGGGGCATTATTGAAGACCTCTCGGGGCTCTCTTGGGGCCTTCTTGGGGTCCCGTTGGGGCTCTGTTGGAGGGGGGGGGGTCTGGGAGGTCTCTTGGGGCCATCTTGGCCCCAAGGACTCCAAAAGAGGGGGGTTAGGAAGTTCAGCCCCCCCCCCCCTGGGAGGCTTAACAATTGCGTCTTGGGGCGCTCTTGGGGCGCTCTCTTGGGCGCTCTTGGGCTGTCTTGGGGCTTTCTGGGCCCCTTTTGGGGCTCTCGTGGGCCGTCTTGGGGCCATTTTGAGGCCTCAAGAGCTCATCGGAAGCGAAAAGGCGAGAAGCCAAGCAATACTGTTTTTCCTTCGCTTTGGGAACTACTTGTGCCTCTTGGGGGGGTCCTTGGATGGCTCGGAAGGCACTTGAAATCATCTCGGGGTCGTCTTGAGGCCTCTTAGATGTGACCCAGAGGCTATCTTGAACCATCTTGGGGCATCTTAGGCCAGGGTGGGGACGGGGTGGATATTAATAGATGGCCAAGATGGGGAAGGGGTGGATGTTATGAGGGAACAGTGGTTCACTGTTTCCTATTTATATACACCCCCTCCCTACCTGGCCGACGGCCAACCCAGAACCATGCCACCCCCCCCGCCATCCCTGTCAAAAAAAATGCGAAACGCACTCTGCCTCTACAGCTGGAGCATGCGCGGCCGCCCCGCGACCATTTTGTATAGGTGTTTTACAGGGGCGGCTGGGGTGCCAGCAGATTCCTTCTGCCGTCTGGGCGCAAGTGGTCGACCGACTAATTTGACACATCAGTGGCTGCTGCCTTTTCGACTTACCGTTTCGGATGGGATTTCGAAACCTGGGCTCCAAAATTGGCCAAGAAAATTCAAACCTGGGCCCAAGAGCCCCCATTGGTTCCCAGTGGCTGGCGCACCTGGCGAGGCTGGAGCACGTGGAACACTGGGCGCACGGGGAGCACGTGTCGCACCTGGCACGCTTGGGCCTCCAGGTTCTGGTGCATCTGGAACCCGTGGCGTCTGCGTCGTTCTTACGCGATATGCTGACTCCCGGGTGTTACATATGTGTTGGGAGGGCGGTTGGGAATGAGCAAGACGGCTTGCGGGCGGGTGGGAAGCTTGACCCCTCCCCCTACCCCCTCCCCTGGGCCTGGAGGTCATTCTTGGAGCGCTCTTGTGCTGTCTTGGGGGTCTCTGGGACGTCTCCGATGACCCCCCTGATCGCTTGGAAGGCTTGGCAAAACGCCTTGCGAGGCCCGGTGGCCGCTTCGAGGCCCGTCCGGAGGGCTCCATAGCCCCAGGTCCCGGGAGTCCGGTTTTGGGGGGGGATGGGTTTTCCCCCCGCCCGGGCTTATAAAAATATAGGAAGAGGAATATATATATATATATATATATATATGTATACACACAAGACTGCATGGGCGCTTCGCGCATGCACATTGGTCCTTGAGGCTTCGCTTATGTTGCTCGTTCGTGCCATCCCTAGTGGCTTTGGAAATGTGGACCTTTCCCTGCGATGGTTTTCGGAAATCTTCGAAAATTCGGGCGGTCCGTGGCCCTTCCTGGGCCTCTGGGGGCTCCCGAAAGGCGCCGGGTGGAGGGTGAATGATAGGAAGGAGGGAACTTAGGAGAGCGAGGAGAGGGAAGCGGATGTGGGGGAGGACGAGTGGTGGAGCGGCAGAAAGAAGAGGAGGAGGAGGAGGAGGAGGAGGAGGAGGAGGAGCAGGAGGAGGAGGAGGAGGAGGAGGACCCAAAGAGGAGCAGTAGGAGGGAACGAGATGGCGCCGTCGGGGTGCGGCGAAGAATTTCGGTTGCGCTGCGCCAAGTAATGGTCAGCCACGCGACTGAATGCCAAGCAAACCGAGGTAGTGTCAAGCAATGCCGCAACATACAAAGCAATGCCAAGCCGAGGATTTCATGTTGCAGCGGGTCGCAACGGGGCACGCGAAAGTAAGCAATTCCTGGGGAATGCACCGAATCCTGGGTTCGCAACAGATTTCTGGGAAATGTGGTTGCGAACCCAGGATTCGAATCAATTTGGTCGGTCAGAACGCCGTGTGGGCCTGGTTCGAGCCTTGGTGGGCCGGCTTGGGGCCCTCTCGAGCCGTCCTGGGGCCATCTTGGGCCGTGTTGGGGAGCTTGGGCCCTCTAGGGACTTGACGGGGGCTACGTGGGCCCTCCTGGTAGCCTCCCATGGCAGTTTTGGGGGGCCACCCATGGCCTTCTTGGGCTTCTCTTGGGTGCCTTGTGAGGGCCTGTTGGGGTTCTTTTTGGCCCATGTGGGGCTTCCTTGGGCAGTCTTGGAGCCATCCAGGCCGTTCAGAAGCTTCCTTGGGGTCTCTTGGGCCGTTTTGGGCCGATACCGAAGGTGTGTTTGGCTGTTTCGGACGCTGATATGACCCCAAATTTTGAATATGCTGGACATTTACGTTTCCCGAGGGGAGTGAAACGACTTCTGCGTTCTGGGAGTCCTGTTCAGAGCCTGCTGGGCCGTCTTGGGGGCCTCTGGAAGCCATTTGTGACCTTCGTGGAGCGCTCTTGTGCTGTCTTGGGTCTCTCTTCGGCCTCTCTGATCACCGCTCTGATCGCTTGGGGTCTGCTGCTGGCAAGACCCGGCTAAGCGCCCTGGGAATTCCGGGACGAGCCGGAGGACCTTTGGCAAGGGTGTCTGCGGTGCCCGAAAACCCCGGGTCTTGGGGGTATGTTTTTTTGTTTTGGGGGGGGATGGGGGTTTCCTCCCCCGCGGCTTGCAAGCATGTAGGACCATGATAATACATCTGTGTATATATATACACATACGTATATCTTCACATATGTCACTCGTACCCAGAGGGTATCTCTTCACATATGTATACATATATGTATAGCACGGCATAGTGCATTGCACAGCGCCGACGGCACAACACAGATCGCACCTGCGCGTCTATTCCCTTTCCGTTTTTTCACCCCCTCGATTTGCCGACCCTCCATGGGGTAGTGTACTATACATATGGTTTACGCAAAACATCATACCATCACAGGTAGGCCCCTGACCGCCCTCGTTTAATGAAAGCCACCAATTTCCGAAGAACATTCACAACGTATGAAACAAAGCCCGCACGCGCGCGCCTTCGCGCGCGCATGCCGAAAACTGTTGCAAACCTTAGGTTCCGTACGGGGTTCAAACACGAAATTCCAAATCCAAGTACGAAACACCCATTGTTTGACAACGCGTTGTTTCAAAAGTGGTCTGCATGCGCTATTACGAATTCGTCAGAATGCCATCGGTAGTTCGACACGTCATCAACTGCGTCAAAACAGGCCTTTCGAGCGCGCGTGCTGGAATCACT